GCATGGGCTGCGCACTAAGGAGTTATCAGCTCACTCTCATAAATTGAGATTATGGTTTTTTTCTAATCAGGGGTTCCTCCAGATACCATCTTCATAAATGGGGAGGGGACTCCAAAAAGCATGACAACTAACACAAAATAACCGGAAATTACCTTTATTTATCAATATTCGGCATTAATTGTTTCCCGCCGATTATCCTATAGCTTAATCTTAGCTATTATTTTCGGCATGCCTGATTAAAGGTTTTCCTTGGTATTCGTGTCCTCCGGATTCCCGACGTCAAGGTCCCCTCTGGGATCCCATCAATGATTTTTTTTTCTGGACCCGTGATGGAACGACAGCCCTGAGAGGAAATCTATAAATAGCAAAGGGAAATTATGAGTGAAGTGGTTGACCATGCAGGGAACACAGATGGGAAGCGTGGGATAATCGGTATCCCAAGGTTGCAAGTCATTTCTTCAAACAAGATTTACTGCTCTCGGACCGTACTAAAGAGGAAGAAAATAAACTGGTAGGGAGAAAGAAAATCGTGAGAACTGAGTGCAGTGACCCCTGTACGAAACGGAAGGAGGGGAAACCGCCAAGTTATCTAGGTGTGGCAGGGATCAAATTCCTCGCCTACCGCATGATATCGGACCAAGACGTGCCTGGCAGCATTTCGCGATAGGTCTATCTGGGAAAAATCGAGGAAAATATCCAGGAACGGCAAATAGGGAAACTTCTGGAACGTGAAGTAGGGAAACTATCCGGGGATGGGAAGTGGGGAAACTATATAAGAATGGGAAGTGGTTAAAATATCCGGTAACATCTGGCTGGCTTGTATTCACAAGAAAACAGGTAGTGAGTAATCATAGAAACGCCGTTTTTGTCTTAGGGCCCTCCCGCGATGTGAGAGAGAAGTCATTTGAGGAGAACAGGTGGAGCTCGTATATGCCTATGACCTGCGCACTATAAAATGGAGGAGATTGCCATGACTGGCCAACCAAGTATGCTGTATACGCGCATTCCGTGTCGGCTCTGAAATGGCATGACCCCAACTTGACCCGGAAATCCAATTCCTTTCTTCGTTTACGACACAAGGTCGATTAAGCAGCTGCCTGACTGGACGGTGAAGTCGAAACTGGTTTCAACAACCGCCCCCAGAGTCTGCATGGTCGAGATACTTTGTCGAGATAGAGGTACTTAATGGCGAGAGATGTCCATGAAACTCGTTCGAGGACCTCGTGTCAAAAGGACAGGAGTCACTGACTGTCTGCCTTGTCCGTCCGTCTGTCTATCGGTCATCACTTCCCTGATTCGATTCGATTCCGACGGAAATTACATTTATGACTGGAAATTGTGGTATCCCTCCACACTGACAACGTACAAGTTGAGGATCGTTCGGACGATGTTTGGTTCAGCAGCAAGTTTATTATCACAATTTTGGAGTTTGTCGATTTGGCCACATTGCTTGGAGTGCACGGGGAAGGGAAGAAGGGCTGGGACCAGCCACTTATGTCTCTCGTCCTGCCCCACCCTCTCAAGCGTACATCACCATCTCGCTCGATAAGTGCAGGCTATCTCTGCCTCAACGCTTCCTCTGTGTCCAACCCATCCTCCCCCAACTTCCTCTCTCCAGATCGTGTGACGTATGACGTTCGTGTGAATGAATGACGTAAAGTGGAGAGGGGGGAAGAAAGGGGAACGCACTGTAAATGTATAACGCCTCTCGTTCTGGAAAAAAAAAAATTACATGTGCTTCCCAATGTTGGAATAGCTGCAAAACCTCAGTCAGGAATTCCTTTCCAGGAGAACGGACAAGCCACTTTCAATGTAGAAATAAATCTTACGCTTCGGGGTGATCATACCAGTTTGGGGTGCTGGTTGGCCCTGAACAGGCCATGCTTTCAGGTTGGCATTCCGATACGGTTCCGAAATACTAGTGCCTGGACTTGGAAATGTTCCGGCTGCAAGGTAAAAATAAAAATAAATAAAAATGAAAAGAGTTAAGGAGGAAAAGACTTCGGATGACGTCCCCTCCGCGACCCCTGATCCTCATCGAATCGAAATTTATCTAGGCTCAAGATGCGTGAAAGTGGTATGATATGGGTCCGTACCTCTTTTCTGAGGTACGAATCTTTACGTAGTAGCCTCGAATTTTTTTTCAGTACTTTTGGGTTGGCCTAGACTGACAGTTCGCTCTGATCTGTGAAAATAATTAGAAGCCAATCAACAGCAAGCGTGGAGGACAGTGACTCGATTTCCAGCTATTCGAGAACTTTACCCTGCACTAGACGTATTTAATAGGGGGGATAGAGTTCTTATTAACAAATGCGACTATCAAAGAGGGAATCGACACCATGAAGCCCATCGTTCATCTCCGCATGAATTTTCTGTTGCTGTATTGAACTGAGTTCCTTGGTTAAACAATTCTCGAGAGTTTGAGGTGAGGACAGGAAGAGTTTCGACCTGGGGTCACCGAGCCAAGTCGATAGCAACATAATTGATTTCGAACGATATCGATCGCCTAAGAGAATCCCTTGCAGACCCGCAAAGCCTCTCTTTGTTCCGATCGGGAAAGAATTGACTCACGAGGCAACCCTGATATTCGAATCCCCCACAGATACATGCGAGCTCGGGTCTGCAATGGGGCCAAGAGCGAGTTCATCTATCAAGTCGTGAGATAGAAGGCAGATGGATCCATTTCGTCTCAGTACATGTATTTTTTGCATTTATTGAACCTCATATCGTATCAAGATTGTGGCCATGTTCTAAATAAATGTTTAATCTCATTTCAGCTCTTTTTTTTATTTACCGAAGCGCATTTCGCTTTGCGAAACGAGGCCTTTTCTTAGTCACATTGGTTACTTGTCTTCCGTTACAAAATATCTGCACGGACTTCACATGTTACGTTTCCCTGACAGTGATGTCATGATCGTGCAGAGTTTCGTGCAATGACGCTTGATGCTAACAGCGTGGCTTGCGGTTTTTGTCGGATTGGAACTCGTTACAGGCAAGTCTGACACGCCTCTAATCATGAAGTTCCTTAATACAGATAGAGTGCTAACTGATAGAATCCTCAACCGCTCCCATACCCTATTACTCCGAAATGGTGGGAGATTTAAGAAAGGACAATTTTTCATTCATCAGTCTGATTTTGATTTCCTGTGGAAAATGCGATGATTTAATCGATTTCAGGGTTATGAAAGAATCTCACAATCCATTTCTTCGATATGGCTTCATTATTCTTTCTGTCCTGACATACAAAGAGATCCCGTTCATACGTCTTCATCTAACCCCTTCAAGGTTGTAGGGTCTTGTGAGACAGAACGTAGTCAAAGTCGAAGCACACGGTCGATGTCGAGGGGAAACGAAAAGTAAATCAGCAGGAAGATCGCCTTCGCAACGCAACGATCTCACCTTGGATTGCCAATGCCGATGTGAAGGAATGCATGTCCCTTCATATGATCCTTCAGGTGGTTCTGGTGATGTGGTCTGTTTCGTGTTGGATTGCTATCAGTCCCCGAAATGTTCGAGGAAGCGTATGGAGGCCCAGTTTTAGGTCCATGAAGGCTCCTGACATCATCATTCTGCAAGATGCTGGAGATGTAGATAGAGGATAATCGGTCGTGGGAAAGATTCAGGGCATGACGAATCCATTCCATAAAGGATGAGTAGAAGGCCCAGACGGAAACTACTGGATCCATGGTTGTGACGCGATTTCCCTCTCAGATGGCAGCCCCGATTTCGGGATTCAGAGCGGAGAGAATAATCTCGTTTTCTATTCTCTTCCAGTTCTATTCTCTTTTTTGTTTTTGTGTTCTTTTCCTGTCATACCCTCGTGTAATGAACGGGACAGTGTCCACAAAGTTGAAAGTTGACCTCTTTCACTGCTCTCTTTCTAATATCCCTCTTGATTTCGTCAATCCCATATTTTTTCTTTCCTAATTTCTTTTTGTTCTCCTCGCTCCCCTGCCCTTCAATTTCCCTTTCGCGCGCCCGTCAGGCCCATGGATTACAGGCCAGCTCTCTTTCTTCGTGCTCAGAATATTCCTCATCAGAATGGATCTCCAAGTTCCAATTCCTATATTTTAATTTAATTGCCCGTGATTTTCATTTTCCTGGATTACATACTAGTATTCATCAGTTTCAAGGGTTTCGTCGTTTGGATTCTAACTCTTTCCCCACTTTTCGTCGGCAGAATATCCTGTGGTAAACCGCGGGAAAAGCCTCAAATCCTACCTAGAGTGACTTCTGCGATTATTTCAAGTCGCACGCCCAATTTCGTCTGCAAAAAAGGGCTGAAAGCAGACATTATCGGTATCTAAGCGTGACAACTGCTAAGGGTATAGTCCTCTGCACGGCAAGCATAGAAGAGCAGTGACAAAAAGTCTGGAAAAAGTTTGTGTAGGGTCTAGTGCTGCTTACCATTCATCTCTGCGACGTTAGCAGGATGACTTGCGAGCTTGAAAATACCATCCGATTGGATGAGCGTGATGAGATCAGCTGACCAATGGGATGATTTTGTCAAGCTAGCAAGTCACCGTGCTATCGTCGCTGAGATGAATAGAACGCAACATACGCAACGATGTGCTTCGAGCTGATTCAGGATGTAACCGAATGGCCTTACGCAAGAAAGCGATCCCGGATCCTTCGCAAAGATTCCTAAGGGTGTGGCTTTTTTCTAATTTGGCTCGTCTGCGATGCCTAGAAGCCTCAAGGAAAAGATGAAACTTGAATGTCCTATACTGAACTCTGTGATGTCACTTGAGATTATTTTCTACTTAAGTATATTTTACAAGAATTTAACGTCCAACATACCTTAACGTAAAATCTCTCCTAATTCCCTCCTCGAACTAGTCATCCATCTGGAACCACTGTTCCATCTAATTCGACAACTTTTTTTTCCTTTTATTCTTTTACGCCCCATCAAACCCGGATGAGTTTTTTTTTTTTTAGCACATTAGTCTCTCCCCTGGTTCTGCTTTCCCGGCTGTCATCCATTCCGAGGTCGAGTCCAGATGACAAAGCACGAGGATGATGAACTGAAATCTCTGGACCACGATATAGAAGTGGGACCTGAAAGTAACCATGGATGAACTTTCTCCGATATATGTGGAGCAGTAAAAGACGGCATGATCAATTTTCCGAAGTTCCCCTGGGGCGGGGGGTTTAAGCACTTTACCTAGTTACTAGTCGCTCCATTTCGCTCAAGGTCAAGACCGATGATGTCTGGGAGCCGGCTGGAATGCATCTTATTCATATTCCAATAGTGCGACCTATATTTCCTTCTTTTTTTTAATGTATTGACATCGGGCTTGGCATTTGTCCCCCTTCCCAGCTTATGAGAATCACTACGATGACGTGGTGATAGGAGCCGGGATCATCGGGACATGGACGGCCTACCATTTGGCGTCGAGAGGACGATGGGTCCTTCTGCTGGATCAGGTATGTAGGGCCTACCTTTTTAAACTTTTTTCATTGTTTCTGGGACACACGACGCTTTTTCCACTGAAGTTAATCTCAGCTGGGGTTGGGAAAAAAAAGGTATGGGATGTTTTTTTTTTTTATCACATGATGGATCTTCTTCACGGTAAGAGAACCCTCACCACATAGCGGGTGTTTTTAATCTCTGGGATTATTTTCCAGCTTGATTTTGCTGATTCCTAATTCTTGTCGTTTCACCGTATCATCAACTCCCTCTGGAATCGATATCATTTGCTCTTACTCGTGTTTCGATTATCAGTGTTCTGGTTTCTACTGTTCGTTCCACGTGACAGTTTTTGACGTTACAATTCGGCACGCACAGTACAGGGGAGTAATATTAGATGTACCCCGTTTGGCCCGCAGAGATGTGGCGGACCACAAGATTATACATAGCCTATTTTCATAGCCCATTTTGTTGTACTTCTTTTCCATGCCTCAGATTTAACTGATTTTGCTATATGATTCGCTATACGCTGAATGATTCAGAGGGGTGCGTCACGCTGACCGTATCCCAACTATCAGTTTTCGAGATGTTCGTGATCCAAGGGTCCTAACGGTACCCCGAGCCGTTCCGTCAACGTGCCGCAACATCTATGAATCATTCGGCTTAGAACTAGTCATATTGCACAAAAAAATTAAATATCCGACCCATGAAAAAGGAGCACAACTACATGGACTATTACAATTGGCTAACTACAATTCTGTTGCCTGTCACGTCTCTGTTGGCCATGGGGGGTGCATCTATTTTTGGCACCCCATAGACAGACTTTTATTGCACTCATCTCATGGAAGAAAGAACGGGATGTTTCCTCACTCAACGCTGGAGCGCTTCTTCTCGCATTGGATTGGCTGAATGTTTCAGGGCAAAACGAGAAGTAAAGCATGAATGGACCCCTGTGCTCACCTCTTCACTTTTAGGGAAAAGTTCATCGTGATTGACTTGACTCGACATTGGGCGGTCAAGCTTTCTCAGTCTCCATGTTGCCGGGAAAGGAGACTATGCTGAATATTGCATAATCTAAAAAAATTTAGTTATATATCATTAAAAAATTCGTGTTCGTATTCGTATGCCTAACGAAAAAGACTGAATATTTAATTGATTGAAAGAATAAGGACGACGAATTCGTATTACATTATCTTGAAAGAATAAGGACGACGAATTCGTATTACATTATCTAAAAATAGCTATAATAATGAAAAAAAAATGAATGAAAAAATGAAAAATCATATTTAATGAAATGCGATGCTAGAAAGAAGATAAGCGGCAAAAATATTCAGAGAATGAAGAGACTGGAGGAGGGAATCCGTGATAAAATGCGTTTTTTCTTTATTTCCCCCAAATGCTAGTTCCCAATTCCACATAGCCGAGGGAGCTCGACAGCTCAGACAAGGGGATTGGAACTGTCCAATACGGATGAGTCCTGGATGCCTCTTCTCCTCGCTTCCTATCCGTATTGGAGGCGATTGGAGCAGGAGACAGGAGAGACTCTCTTCGAGTGAGTAGCAGTTTGCCACCCTCGCCCTAATCCACAATTCTTTTCCTCATTCCTCAGCCATTTTGCCATTCTTCAGCCTTTTGTGTCACGCGTGCTTACAAGAATCCTGGTGTTTCCATCGCGGCGTCTTGGAATTCTAATTTTGCTCAGTTGTCGGCATAGGTACACGCGTTTATTATAATTTTTTAATTTTTAATTAATTTTACAAGGACAATTATAAATTTGTGCATTTTACATCGAGTATGCTTGGATGCAAAGTTGATTGGTTTTGATGGTGTCTGATGCGAGAGATTTATTACTCAATCCCTTAGTCCGAATAAGAAAGATGAAGATACTGAAAAATAATATATGAAAAAAGAAACTCTTGATTCATAGCAAATGAAAAGTTTTCTGCGTGATTTTTTATTTTTAAGGAAATTAATCCGAGTAGGTATACGAACCACACACACCATTCTCTAGGTAAGATCTAAGAAAGTGTAAATAAAGTTATTTCGTCATGATATAAGATCATTGTGCGAATCGAGATTTCGAGATCCGACTGGCAGGCAGTGTGAGGTCACCACGTATGACTCTTTGTCAGGTATCATGATCTCCTGATCGTGACGGAGGCGGCGCGAGGATGGCCGATACCCGTAATCGAGGATCTCCTTAAAAAATACTCCCCGGGAACTCCATCCAGACGCATGTCAGCCCGAGAAGTAACGAAGCAATACCCGGATCTCCGATATCGCAATCTCACAGCAGGGCTCGTCGATACCTCCGGCGCCATCCTATTGGCTGCCAAAATCCTTCGTATCCTCCGGGTAAAGGAAACCTTTGATGACTGGTACTTTTCACTTTTTCATTATGCCTAAAGAAGTCTTATGTAAAACACTTTGAGGGAAACTTCTCGCCCTCCCCATCGTCACGTCTGGTGATTCCATGGTGCCATCTCATGATATCTTTCTCCTCGACTGAGTAGGAGTTCCAACGAAAGAAAAAAATATTGTCGCAACTTTCCTCGAGATTTTTCGCTTCGACGATTCTCCATGACAGAGGATCCAGATAGTGCAAGTGTCTTATGAAATTATGCCTGATGAATTTTACTGATATGGTTGGTCTGAGGGATGTACTATCTCTTTTACGAGTTCCACTCAGCGTATAGATCGCTAATAAATATAATCATTTTGATAGCGTTTTAGATTGCAAAACGTTCTATGGGATGGAAGAAATATCATATTTTAGGTTCTAATAATCAAGGAAGGGACACTGGGAAAATGATTGGGTAAAATTTAGAGGGCTTATTGTGAAGCCCTTCTCTGCTTGCTCTCATAATGCAGGATCCCTTCAATAACGTTGTGGGTATGAGAGTTAGCACATCCTGTACTCTACTGCACTGTACAATGTAGTTTACTCGTACTGTGCAGGAGAGGATCAAGGCGTACGGTGGAGAGATCATGGACCTGTGTCGAGTGGATCGTATCGATCCAGGCCCGCCGGCTGCCGTTTATTGCCATCGGCGGGATCCCATTTTTGCCCGATCCGTTGTCATTGCTGCGGGTCCCTGGACGAGCAAAGCGTTGAAGACGGTCGGGCTGAAAGTGAACGTCCCTGCGTCCCTCGGTGCTCATGCCTATTTCCCTGCCAGGCAAGGTGCTTCCTTACAAGAAATCTCTCTCATTCACTACGACGAACGACAGAAGTTCCTGGCCTGGACCCACCCGGAGGTGGAATACCCCAATCTCGTCAAGGTCCTTCTCATCCCACATTCCTGCGCATAGGATCTTTAAAATGTCTCTAAGAGATTTGCTTGTGTGGGACAGGTTGGTCTGGCGCTCTGGATACCGGTTGATCCGGACAGAAGAGACTCACACGGGACAGGGAGATTACGGCACGAAGCATCAAGATACGTAGATGAGCATCTCCTCTGCCTCAATTCCACCGCTGCCATCTACGAGGGGTGCATCTTCTACGTAAGCCCTGACCTTGTTGTCTTTTCATGTTCCGGCCTCTTAGCCCAGCATCACCGGATTTCATTTTTTAAATTAAAACTTCCAACGCGGGAAAATTTAATGTGCGATGAGCTTACTACCTCATGCCCTCGTATAACGGGTGTAGGGCTTAACCTTGGAACTACCAGAACCCGGATGGTCATATGTTTATCTCCTTGTTTCATCTCTTCATTCCCAAAGAATCTCTTCAAAATTTGCATAATTACTATCACATGTCTTCGTGAAAATACACGGAGTATCGGACTTGTCAAGTTTACGTTGCAACCTACACAAATGGCTAAATTTTTGCATCAGGATCCATTGGATCCAGAACGATAGTTGCAGGGTTAAAGTGTCAAATACTAACGTTCGGTGATTTTTTTTGTAGCCAAGTCTTTCTTCAAAAAGTCTTCGGCCTGATCTTGTTATTGTCTACAAAACCCCTTTTGGATTAGTGTTTTCTCTGTTGTGAATGCTTTTTTCCCATTACTTTTGACAGCACATAGATGACATGAAGCACATCATCAGCAGACACCCCCAGCACCCCAACATCATCATAGGAGCAGTAGCAGGTGAGACATTTCGCTATGACCAACGTAAACAACAAAGTTTACTGGGTGACAAAAGCCTCATTTTCCAGTCAATTTATGTCGGAAAGCGAACAGGTCTTCGGTGGGAATTTCGTATCATGATCATGACAAGCTGAATGCTTCAAATAAATAAACCCGTGTAGATTATGAAGCATTCAAGGAAGTTCATAGGACTATGAACGATTTATATGCTATCCAAATACTTTATATACTTAGCTGTTGAAATCCATGGACGAAACAGAATGTGTCCTGAAGAGCAACAAAAAGACAAAAAAAGCCTTAGGTATGCACAGATTAGAATACCACCTGAAAGAGTCAACTGGAATTTCGACTTTCTTTCCTTTCTTGAAAGAGGGGGGAGAAAATCCCCCAAAAATTTCCCAAAGAGCAGCAATATGAAAGCACTTTCAGTACACAATTTCCTATATTCGTGTCGAGAGTATCAGAATTAAGATGGGCAAAATGAGCCTCACATCCATTTAGTCCCTTTGTCCTCTCGGGATTCCGTAGGGTAGCCGTGAACATACTGCGGTTCGTTTGATATAGCACCATCGCGTTATAGCGCCGAAATCGGCGACAACCAACAAAGGCGTTATATTGAGGATTCACTGTATGCAGAAACTGCACAACTCGCAACAGACCACGCAATCCACCCTGCTTTCAATAAAGACTTTCTATGTGATCCCCGAGTCATCGACTACAAGACTTTCGAGAGAAATCCAACTGCTTCCGTTCAAATGATAGGCATCATGTACGAAACCGCGCTGGAAGAAGGTGGAGGTTGTGGTACTGTGCTCCCCTGAAGCGAAAGTCGCAACGTGCCCGCATTAAGACCTATAGAGACTTTCAAAAATCTTACCGACAATACTAAGAAAAAATTCGTTCTGACTCGCTGCACATCCTTTTTCTTTCTTTTTTTTCTTTGTGCTCTGAGAAAATTTTTCAGTTCTCCTTATCATTATGAAAAATTCTTGCCAATTAACCTCCCCGTCTCCAGTTCAAAAGAATCAAGCGGTCGAAAGTGATTTTTTTAAATCGCTTGGTAAAGAATAACATTTGGAGACGGGGGCGTAGCTCAGATGGTAGAGCGCTCGCTTAGCATGCGAGAGGTACCGGGATCGATACCCGGCGCCTCCAAGGTTTTTTGAATTTTTATTCCCTATAATTCTCCATGTTGGACTCATTGAGGAACTTATTTTGTCATAGTCTTCTATGGGAATTGTAATAAGGAGTGATCATTGCGCGACTCTCTGCTTCCCAATAGTGCTATGGTCTTATGGTAAGTCTATGGATTAGACACACAACGCCTGTAAGATCCAGTGAGTGGTGATTTTCTATCTAGTAACCTGTCTGGAATATCATGGAATCGGCCAGATCTCCACTAACGTGAGAGAGTGTAATGTCGCTCTGCTCCATTTCATCGCAAATCGCCCCATTTCCTCACATATGCATATCTCCCCGGAGCAAATTATCTCATTTTCTCTCACTCCCTATATTTCCCTTTTTTAAAATTTCTTGTAGGTTCGGGATTCAAGATCTCTCCAGTGGTGGGTCAAGCACTGGCGGATCTGTCCATGGGACGACGACCGAGTTTCGACATCTCCGAATTCTCCGTCAACAGATTCCTTTGACCTCATCCGAAGAAATAGAAGGGGCGGGGGGGGGGGAATCCAGTTACCGGAAGGAGACCAAGGAAAGTATAGCTTCCTGTGATCGGGAATTTCGGCGAGAAGTCTACCTCGGATGTATTATGAAATTATGATGGGGCGATAGAGAGGAGTCGAGGCATGGATGATGGGAGACCGAGAGATCCAACCGTAGGAAAGGAAGACCTTGCTGTGCCTTGTATCTAGTCTCTCTATTCTCTTTCGTTCTTTCTCTCTTATTATGAGAATGAATATGATTCTCGATACCCGTTCCTGGAGGTATGAATTTTGTCGTCATCCTTGTAACCTTGGACCGAAGGGGACTTCCTGTTGTCAAGGTGTTCATGAGAGGGAATGGAATATTATTTTCAGACACGATATTTCATATCGAAGTCATTTCCAGAAAAAGTCATTGCATGACAGAGTTCATTCATTGACTGAAAAAAACGACTTGGACATTTTGAGGATTTGGACTTCGGAGGGAAAGGTTTACTACAAGAGCTATTCGGCTGAGCTATTCGTCCAAGTTCCGTCTATTCATGAAGAGTCATTGAAACAATATGTGTATCAGGTGAAAGCAACAGAACAGATAGGAAATGAGATGAACAATAGAGGTGCAACAGGTGGATCACCGCCAAGGGGCCATTCACGCTGAAACAGCTGGCTTCCTACTTCGAGGACTAGGACTGTCATCATTAATCTAATAATCGAATCGCAGGCAGGACCCACTTAGAACTTGTATGATCGATCCGCCTCTTTCCAGCATGGGCATAGCGATCGGCATGACCGATTTCATTGTAGCTTCTGAACCAGGCCGATGCCTGACACTCAGGACCCTACCGAGTACCAAGTGACCCCATTTAGGACTCCTCATACTCTAACATTCCTTTCACCCGGCGATCTCATGAATTAAGAGACAGTGAGCACTTTAGGACAGATAGGCTCTCGCGACCTCGACCCGAAGGCCTGCGAGTCTCTATAAGGATTTTCCGAAAGCATAGCCAAGAGACAATGGCAAGTAGTATTGCTTCTGCAGGGAACAATGTTCCTCGAACGAAAGTTTGAGCAAGTGGGTGGAACTGATACTCGTTGAAGTGATTGGCCTGCTTTCATTCTGCTGGAGGCGGTCTTATTCATATTCAACCTTCTGATGAATTTCTCATCTATTTGAGAGTAGTTGGACTGTCGAAGCTGCAGGCGAGGAAGACAGCGTCCATAGCCATCAGGCAATCGTTCGGGCAAGATACACATATCTGAGTAAAATAGACGCATTTCAGACTGAAAAATGACATTCACTTACGATGCTCGTAAAGTAATGAGCTAATTGCAAGTATTTTATAGCATAATCCTTTGCTGCAAGTAGCATTGAGACACGTCTTGACGGTGTGTTACGAGCAAGTTCATTCCCTTTGGGGGTGTCTATTTTACTCTGATCACTCCGTGCATATCAGGTTCAGTATCCTACACAGCCCGAAAATTGTGGTCAATCTCTACCTTCTTCAAGACACCTCTGAGAGGCGTCCCATATGTTAAGACAGAGCACTCAGTAAGTGCAAGATGTAAGGTTGGTGATGTAAGGAACAATGCCATATGCAAGGTCGTAACGTAAAGTAATGTAGAAAGTCGTTGAGGGAGGTGAAATTTATTCAAGTAGCGATTGGCTCAGCGAAGGAAGCACTAATGTATGATTCAATTGAAAATTTGCAGTAATTTTACAACAATGAACCTGTTCCTCACACAGTTCGAGGGTTTCACCTCAATATTAGAAGAGTAAAACTCCGAGGATGAAGTACAGGAGAAAGAGCCCTTCACCATGCAGGGTGAAGTAGTGGAAGCCATCGTGTCCTGCTCGGAAAAGTTTATTTCCCGCCTTTTCTTGAAAAAATAATTTGAAGAAATGGGGACTGTCGGAAATCAATAGTTTCCTATCTCGATGGATTAGCATATGACTAGATTCCGAGGCCTTTCAACGTTTCATTCTCTTTTCTATTCAAAATAATTTCTATTCCAACAAATAGTTTCCACTTAACGAATGCAAAGAATATTGCCTATGCCTTTTCGCCAAGGACAGTCGAGGAATGCACCAACAGTGGCTGAGGAAAGATGCTTCAGTCTACTTCATATACTCATCATTAGCGAGCCTTCTTCCGAGAGAAATGATTGCGATTGCGCTGAGGTCTCCGTGTCTCAGTTCGTCAGCGCAAAGCATTCCTCGACGTCAGGGGGAATACTACGGATTCGAAAATCGCCAAATGTTTACTACAGCCCATAAACGTGACGAGTATGAGATCTGGTTTTAAAAAGTACCCATCCAATAATAAATGTATTAATAGGCAGACCCATGACCATATTAACCTCTCGAGCTTTTTCCACGCATATCCATGATTAGAGTCAACTGATACGGTTGTCCACTTATACGCCGGGTATTTGTATTTACTGTAAAGAGAACGTTCGTATGGGAAAGATCCAGCCGTCCTTCTGCGGAATTCGTCCGAGGTAATTCCAGTACCCCCGGGCAACTGATTTAAGCTCGGTACTGCGCTTCTTCCAATTTTATGGCGTGATTGTGCGTATCCTTAAAAAAAAAATACTCATGCAACCGGGTGAGCTTTGTCGCATACGCCTGGCTTCACAGCTTAAGATACGACTAAACTCGAACTCCTCTTACACGTTCCATGCATTTCTCAAGTCACACTGCATCTTCAGACATTGTATCCTCACATCCTCACATTGTATTACCACGTAGCGTGTCCTGAAATCGTTATGTTCTCCTCAATATGCCATAGTATACACATTTATAATAAAAAAGTTTTATACGGACTGAATCAATCTTCTAGCCTTTTCACATGGACGTGTTCTACAGAGCGCCTATTTCTGTTCTTCATTCGGATGTGTTCAACCGTATGCCTTTTGCCTCGAGTCCATTTTTCCAAGAAATGTTAGCCAACATGACTGAACCGCATTAACCGTGAAAATCGACATCTTTCGGCACAGAACAGTGCCATAGAGATTATTTATTCATTCTGGAATCAAATATCCGCGAGAGCTCCTCACAGGGTCAAGCAAATGTTCATTCCACGGGACGAGGCTTTCTATACGTCCTGTGAACAAATACGAATGCTTTCTGGAAATCTATCTGTAGAAATGGATCAGGCCATGGTACTCTGTTGCCCACAGCCCAGTGTGAGGATCAACATTTCCTAAGCTCTGGGTTCATGATAAAAAAAAATTAAGGGGTTGATAGGGGACGTTGCCAGCTTCAGACTGCATCGATTTTCTCATGAATTTCAGATAAAATTTACATAAACTCGTGGTGTTCCGCATGCTTTGAACCCTGAATCCATGGCGGAGAGATCTAAAAAATTCACGACCCCATTAGAGATTACGATCAGTAGGATGGAAATCCGACCGGAAAATTTCCCTCTTAACAAGGGTTAACAGGTCAAAGGCGAGAGGTTAATGAACTCCAGCCCGAATGTCATTGTTAGTGCGCGCATGAACACGAATACGAACAAGAGTAACACGAAGAAAAAAGAATCAGTTGCATCGAGGTCGGTTGCCATAAGGACGGAGAACATCAACAAAGCGCGGTACCTTCCACGGAATACCATCGAGTCGCAATCGATTGGAAGTGGTCAAATATTCACGCTCACTCCCTCCCCGTCTCCCCTCCCTGCTACTCGCCGCACGTTTCTCCTCTCTCCGTCTGTGATGAGCGACCTTGCAGTGTGAGTTCGTGCCTCCCCTCCTGCCCGTTAGAGGAATTCTCAGGGGTGAGAAGTAATTCCGACCGAGTTCGGTGGCTAGAGTTTCGTAACTTTCCCGATCCCTTTACCTTCACGAGATGGAATCCTTGATAGCCACGAGGCGATCGGGGAGTTTCGGCATGAGGATCCTGGACGCGAGTCGGCGACGCCGGGCCAGCACGACGGCCTCGCGGTGCCCATCCTGCAAGATGATCCTGGACGACGACGGGGTCCGCCGACTGAGGTGTCCCTTCTGTGGCGCCTCTTGGAGCGTCGGGAACGAGGCCGAGGACCAGCTCTCGCTCTCTCAATCGAGGACCAGCTCTCTACATCTACCTCTTATTGTACGTACATGGGCCTACTCGTCACAGCACTCGATCTTGGTTGATTTGCATCGAATTCAGGCTGCAGTCCTGCACAAAGTCCAAAGTACAAAAGTCCCTGCAGCTGCACAAAGTCCAAAACGCGTTCGAACCATGAGCTCTTAATCTCATACATATTCGGAAAAAAAGAAACATTTACAAACATTCAGCTATCACTATAAATATAGACAGTAGCATGGATAAACAAGAAAAGCAAGGAAAGTAACCCTACCCTGCACATATTCCTAAAAATCGTCCATCTTGAGTAAATTTTCTTTCTCAACATGGAGTTCTCCCATCCTTCGACAGATCGATATAAAACTGCGCCCACATACGTGGTGACCAATAAATCGGCTTAGCTACTCGACACGTGTATCTCAACACGCATGATTCGTTTGACCTTGAATCTTGGTGGAACAATTCACTACACTGTTGGGGAAGGCTTGGATTATTAGTCCATTATCACCAATTACGGAGGTAATTGACATCACATACGTTGGAATTGGCGCTAGTGCAATAAATGTTGGAAATTTCCACCGTTTTCCTCAATGATGGACTTCACTCTTGGAAGTCATTCCAGCCTGTGCGTCATGCCCATTATAGATGATGTTCAATTCGTAATCTTCTCCATGGTACAGTGAACTGCCCTATCGAGATTCAAGGTCATACGACACACGGATGCTGAGATACACATCTCTGAGTAGCTAATCCGATTTATTTGTTATTTGGACTTATGAATGACGAGAAATGAAGAAACTGATGAAGCTATGCAGCAACAGTCGGTTCCGTCGCAGTTCGAGGCTTCGAAGTCAGAAATCTCCGGGGAGAAAAGGTACAAAATTCATCTACGTAGCAACAAAAGAGAGTAAATGAGTTTGTAAAACTCCTGCATCGGCTGTAAAAAAGATGAGTGTCAGTGATCACTGGTCAGTGATCAATGGCAAGTTTTATTTTATTACTATTTTATTTTGCTCTTACTTCTCTTGACATAAATATATTCCTTGATCTTGCTTACGGCGTGAAGGATGCAAGGCCGAATCTGAGCCTGTCGGGCCGTTTCCTGGGGCGGTTCAGTCCCACCCACCCCAACTTCACCCACATTCAGGGATTCACGATGAGGAACGGCGAGGAACGGCCGGCCTCCCCCGAGATGTCCACCCTTCCCCCCATCGCCCTGGTAAAATCGTGTTTCCCCCTTCTGTCTCGTCCCTCCCTTTCGGGATACACCTGGGTGTATCCACTGCGATCAGGGTGGGGGAAGCCGGCGGTTGGTGAGCATGGAGACGTCGCATCGGTCTTTGCCGAGCTCTGCATCCAAACTGCGTCAGATTCGAAGCGCTCGGACTCCTTCCAAAGACACCCCTCCTTCCGAATTTCAACTGATCGCCACACCGAACAAGAAGATTCAGCGCTCTACCGTGGACATCGAGAAGGAAGATTTCGAGTGAGCAACCCGACAAATAAAACTTTTTCGGACTTGCATTTCAAAATTTCGATTCAATTAAAGTCTGCGTTTGCGTCCAGGAACATGGTTCAGCGAGCCAGGGAGACCGGAAACTACGAAGAAGTGGGCAAAGTCTACACGAACGTATTTCAGGATTTCAAAAGTATTAGTGCAACTTTCAAGGTATGGAGCTGTATTTAGAGTGCGGGTGACGGCGCAAGAATCTTCTTGAGTATTTACGAAATGGTGTTTTGCAGAGGGCATCCGACCAAGACAGTGTCACATCTCTAGATTCGGGCTTGAATATGGCGTTTGTGAATGCCGTCAATGATGCGATGATCGGCATGGTAATTTTTCCACTCTGCCTCCGGTAGTTCCGGCTGACTGATTCCCTGATCTTCTCTTTTCCTCTTTCCTCAGCCTTCCAACATCCATAGGATCGTGTTGAAGAGTGTCTTCTACGGTATCATGGATGAGAGTCACAGGTGGGGCACGATTCTTTAGTCTGCGACTTTTCTTCACTTTTTTGTAGCAGCCTTTCCTCCAACTTAATTCAACCCTCGTGTCGGTGCAAAGTTCTGCCAATTTTACAAGGAAAAACATTTGGCTTAAAATTCACCTTGTGAAAGGGCTATGAATTTGATAAATATTTTGGTACATAACAAATTCGTCACGTGAAAAATTAATTTAAATTTGTAAATAATTCATCCAATAGACCTTTCTCTCTCGAAGGCTTGCCGCGTGACTGACCGTAGGACTGGACCATTTCAGGCAATCGTTGACCCAATTATATAACGTATATATTCTCTTTTATGAGAGATTGGTGGGGCGCCATTGACGGGGGAAAAATTGAAGGATCGATTCTTTGCCATGCACGTAGAATGGCTCTTCGTGATGTGCAGAGGCTTGCATTTATTATAAGGCCCGGCTGAGCTTCATCGGTGTTGCTCTATTTTCGTACGAATTCTCACCCCCGCAGCTCACGTTCACTATTACGCCTCAACTCAACATTTCTACATTTCCTTCGTTCTCCAAGGTCTCGGAATCCACGCGATTCCGTTCATAACGACCTAGTACTTTTAAAGATGAGAAAGCGTGCGATTTGGGATCTGCATCTTCCTCTGGTGACCGAGCATGCAGTAAACCTGCAAGAGTATTGATAGGACTGAAAAGTACTTGCCGATGAAAGATCAGCTCAGATTTTTAAAGCAAAAACTACAGGACCGGACCGACTTCAAGGAGAGTAGCGTCAATGAACTTGAATCGTCTTTCACATTGTTTCTCTTATGGAATCCTAATGCTGAGCTAGTCCTATTTTGATTGGAAAAAAACTGCGAAAAGCTGAATTAATCTGAGCAAATAAGATACATCTCGATTCGTCTCAGCAGACGGGTTTGCCAATAAGGGGCATTTACAAATGAACCAGTACTGAAAGAGTGCTTTTAACAGAAGATTACAGAGGATTCCCTTGAAGGGAAACGGTGAGACTGATGTGGACACTTTAGGTACCATCGGCCTCGACCTACCTCTGTGGTGTGTTCCTTGGTGCCTTACGTACTGAAAACAGCTTATACTAGGTAGAGTGGGCTGCTTGGCCCTGTTTCCTCCTAAAGTTCGATCCTCAAGCGTGCAGTGAAGGACTCTTCAGAAATCATCATGTCCTTACAGTTCTTATGGAAACTTAATTTAAGGATAAGCCTATAGTTTTCATAGAATTGTGGACCCAAATTGACGATGCAATTGACGAGTAAGTTCTTTCCATTTCTAAATTTCATGTTCTGGACGATCTATGCGCGAAAAAAATTGCAATGAGAATGATGTTGCATGTTGGCAAGAAAATTGCCGGAAATTATTAAGCTGCTGTTGTAATTTAATCCAATTTTTCAGAGGCTGGCACCAGCACGCGAATTCCAGATTTCCTGAGGAAATTTCCTGATTTCCTGAGAAAGTCTTCGAAATTCTGAAAGTTATGATAGCGAAATTAGGATCCGTGAATCCGTTCCTAGCTGATCATTCTGTCCACGAAATAGTGACCTAGTGCGATTTCACTCTCACCCGATGACCGCGGCACGTTAGAAAAGCCAGACAGGAGTGCGAACCGCTTCTCGGAACGCAGGAAGCTTCCGGACGAGCTTGTCCTGTGAACCGCAACCATGCGGATCCCATCAGCTGCTTTCTTTGCTATTGTTTTGTGTCACGATATCTGTGGTGCCTCCCTATCTTTCAGACACTCATTTCCCCTCTTTCCGCTGAGATAACGCGGAATAATTAGGAAAACTCGAGTGGGGAGACAATTTCCCGTCCTGTATAGATGACAGATGTTTCAAAGCACCCATTCTCTTCTATGTCTCATTACAGGCTGTATAGTTAGCTTAACTGCATAAACATGGAGCTACATCTATTCATCGCGCTGGGTCAACGATTGGTAGAGACGGTACGATGCAGCGAACGCAACACACTATTTCTTATTGAAATACGAGGGATACTCAATAAGTAAAGTAACAAGGTCTGCTGCGGCTAAGTTATTGCTTGGATCGAAGTACTTGTTTCGTAGTGTAATACAGCAGTGGTGAGGGTTCTATTGAACGCGCGGATTGATCGCTGTGTAATATTGCGCATACGCGACAAGCCAGTTAATGGGGCGGCCCTCCAAGAAAAGTGGTCAACCGTAAAAGTGCCGAGTGTTATTCCTTCCCTCCATGCAAGAGACACCTCACCCGCAGAAGTCCATCGCCAACTTGTAGGGGTTCATGAAGAAAATGTCAGGTCTCGAAAATAAGTATGGGCGTGCTATAAAGCATTTTATACTGGGCGAACGAGCATCATCGAGGAACAAGGAGACCCTCCTCATCAGGTGAGAATATCGAGCAAATGAAAGGAATGATTCAAGAGGACAGGCTAATGGAAATTCGTTAGGTAGCTAGAGATCTTGATATTTCAATCAGAACTGTATTCCAAATTGTTCCTAATGAAGAAAACGAATGGTTGAAAAAAAGGAAAAACTCTCCGCGCTTCAACGGTTGACGACTTTTCTAGGAGGGCCGCCATCTTAACTGGCTTGTCACGCATCCGCAGCATTACACAGAGATCAATCCGCGTGTGCAATGGAACCCTCATCACCGCTCAAGGACGTCACGAAACAAGTACCTCGATCCAAGCAATAACTTAGCCGCAACAGACCTTGTTACCTTACTTATGAACATCCCTCGAAAACTGTGTGCTAATATACCAAAATGATACATTTCTGCATCTGGGTTGTCAAGTGTGACAATTTTTTCGGCTTGGTATGTGATCTCTCCCGCAACTGACAAGCCTTCATACGGTTGGCAAGCAAATTGGGCCACATGCTCCAAATCGGTTAAACTTAAACCCATCTAATATCATGATGACTCCCTATGGAAATCGGTCCAATCGAGACTATCTCATTCCCATAGTCGCTTGTCAAGAAATCATATCAGTTTAAGCATAAACGGATCCGGCGCATGTCACCCATTATAATTAAGCATCTTAAATTATGATTTTCACAAGTAAAATTCATGTATCCTAAGCTCAATGATGGACTTCAATTCAAAGGGCATTCCAAAATTTTTTAGAATCGGTCATTTTGAGCGAAGCTTCAAGCTCTCTTAAAATTTTCCACCGATTCAGCGGCGTTGGACTGGGGGGCCAGTGGGGGGAGGCACGTTCCCCCCCCCCCCCCCCCCCCCCCCCCCCTTGGGGGACTGGGGGGGCAGGGGGGGGGGGCCCCCCCCCCCCCCCCCCCCAACATTTAAAAAAAAAAAGAAGCAAAAGTTAAAAGGAAAATACGCATGAAATGTACCAAAACAGTGCCAGAGAGAGTTCCCATGCCCTCCACTTTTTCCATCCACGCTACTTTTATGCCCAGATTCTGCGGGTTTTGAACATCGTGTGGAGCAAATTTGAGCTCTGTGCCTTAATTTCTCTGCCTTTGAGCTCAATTTTTTTTAGCAAAGGTAATCAGCCCCAAATGACCTCTGCTGACTTAGTATACACCTTGGAGTGATGAAATTTCAAGGTCATCATCTTTTACTGCACGAAGCAGGGTTTGCAACCAAATGTCATTCTCTCTGGGATGCAAGGTGCACCGAGACCAAACACCATCACTTGCCATCATCCATCGCTGGGTCAACGTCTTCAAGTTCGTTCGAAAGTCCTTTCAAGATGCTGCCCAATCTGGCCGCCCAGAAATTGCAAATGACAAGCAGACAAATAAATATTGGCGGAAGCTAATAGAAGACTGTCGCATGGCCTATGCGTCGAATCAGCAGATATGGGGGATTGGTGCGCATGTAGTCCACATCATTCTCAGAGAGAAACTGAATGTGAGGAACGTCTGTTCCAGTTGGGTGCCTAATTCATTGAACAAGAACAGAGACCACCGGGTGGCTGTTTTCCATTTCATGATTATGGAATTTGAAGACGGGCAGTCTCGGGGAACATCGTGACAGGTGACAACGGTTGGGTCAGCAACTGCAACGTGCCCTCAAAGCGACAGGTCCAAATGTGAATCTTTGAAGAATTGGTGCCACGCATTGGTTTCAATTATTTCAGGAATGCCGGAAAAGCTAGTTTGTCAGGTTCTTCAATGACGGTGACATGCTTGTTTTGTTAAGCATGCTTAGAAAGACTTGTAGACCAGCGCACAGTGAACTCCAAATGTTACTGCAGCTAATGAATGCCCTAAATAGTCCAGGGCCCCCCTTTAGTGCGACCTAAGACGCCACCTTAGCAGTGGATGCTGCACCATGATAATGCTTCTTCGCACATCTACGCCGCAACTGGTTGCTTTCAGGACAATGGCATCGATCGCTCCCTCTTCCCTCCTACTCCCTTGATCTGGCCCCCTGTGTCTTCTGGCTCTTCCTCAATATGAAAAAAGCACCTCAAGGGACGTCATTTTTGGGGGCGTTAAAGGGGGGTTTGCAGTCCTTCAGTGAAAACGATTTCACAGCATGCTTATTGGAGTTGTTCATGCGCAAGCGCTTACGTGCTGACACAAGAGGGAATAATTTGAAAAACAGTAAAGTTAAGCGGATCGGCCGTACGAATAAATAAAGAAGGTAAGGGTGGATATTTGAACAGAGAACTATCCGATAATGCAGCTTTATTCCAGGGAAAACACATGATATTTCCTGGAAATAAAGCTGCATTATCGGATAGTGTTCGGTTCCAAAATCCTCCCTACATCTCTAGGAGGAGGGGCGCCCCTCGTAGCATGACACTACTGGAGCATCAGCTCAGGCACAGATCTTACATTAGACTAGTCACCATTTTAGGACCAGAAGCTACCGCCAAAATATTGGGTTGGAAAGAAAGTCTTGCAACACTTTCTGGCGAAGCCCTGCGGAACGCCCTCAACGCGAAGCCGAACGCCACCACTCGCGAATCGGCGACTACACTTGGAGTCACCCATATGGCCATCGGCAACCATCTGAACGACCTCGGCTATCGGAAGGTTTACTCGACATGGGTCCCTCATCGGCTCAGCGACTCTGACAAAGCAAGCCGTGTCATTGTCTGCGAATCACTGCTCCTTCGTCCGCACAGAAAGGAGTGACCTCGGCTATCGGAAGGTTTACTCGACATGGGTCCCTCATCAGCTCAGCGACTCTGAGCCGTGTCAGTGTCTGCGAATCACTGCTCCTTCGTCCGCACAGAAAGGACCTTCTGAAGGAAATCGTTACTGGAGATGAGAGCTGGGTCCTCTACGTCAACCATACTCACAAGAGTCAGTGGCTTCCACGAGGAGAATTGCCGCCACACAAACCGAAACCAGGGTTCCACGAGAAGAAGGTTCTTCTCTGCTGTTGGTGGGATTCAGAAGGAATGTTGTACTACGAGCTCCTGCCAACTGGTACCACCGTGACTGCTGTCGCCTATGCTGCTCAACTTCAGAAGTTGGCTGGCGTCGTTCAAAAAGAGCGTCCCAAACGCAACAAAGTTCTCCTTCTACCCATGCATTGGGAACATGTCATAGACAACAATGGTCATTGCATTGTAGACTGAAATTGCATTTCAGAAAGTTATAAAATTTTGAAAAATTTGCACAGTGTTGCAAGACTTTCTTTCCAACCCAATAACTTTGTCCCATGCAACAGAATGGGATATGAAACCACACCTAGAGCTGTCTTGTGACCTAGTTTCACCCCCTGCTCTTGCTACAACAAAGTTGCATGTAATAAAACTTCTTAATGAATCTTGCAAGCTACCTGCCCCTACTAGTTTTTTCATATCTGAAATTATGTTTTTACATTTCAGTCTTGGGACATGGGCTGGGGTTTTGACATGCCCACTTTGTACAAGACAGGAGCTTTGGCGGCTACTACATCAATTCTCGTTGCATTATGGGTGGCTTCCTGGTAAACAGCATGCATTTTCTTAGAAAGTTTCTCCTAGCAGTGAGGAATATGTGAAAGTGAAGAAATGTGTTATAAGGATCAACATTTGATTGGTTCTCCTTGCTGTGATGAATGCAGTGAACCTACCTTCATGTTCTCTTTGTGCTCTGAAGATCTTGTGTATCAATTCATCTGTCATCTGAAAACTTCGTATTTTAGGGGTTGTGCAGCAATGCTTCATTGTAGTTTGGATTCTTCAAGCCTGAATGTCTTCTCACTTGCAGAATAAAACTCCCATAAATGACAACAGAAAAGTTTATTGTACAAATATCCAAATGCAAAAATTCAGCCATTCAACCAACAAAGATTGTGAAACTCATCATCCATAAGGTTTTCAGCCATAGGTGTTGTTCAGACCTTTGTGTCTTAATGATCCAGAAAGCTTGGATGAGTAACATAATCCTGGTATTATCATTCAATCCTTAGAGCATGTTGTGGAACAAAATTTGCTAGAAAAGTGCTAACCTGGTCCCACATTTACTGGATTATCTGGTCTCAGATTAAATTACCTTTTGGTTTTAAAACTGATTTAATTATCAAGAAACCATCAGTAACAGACTTCTGTTATATCTTTGGGAAAAAGAAATTTGAACATTTTTAGCTTGGAAACACTCCAACAAAATCTTCAAATCATGAAGTTTAAAAGTACAATGTTAGGTACTTTCTGATGTCCCTCAGTAGAAAACCGTAACTGCTGACATTTTAGCCACTCAGACCACACCTGAACCTTGACTCCATAGCTAACTCAAATTCTCTTTTGAATATTTTTAAATGCACTGTCACTGTTTCTGGGAGAGAGTTTCAATGATCTGTGGATGCCAGTGCCACAGTGAATAAAAAGTTTAACATCTTAATGCCATACCTTATGCAGTGAGTCGCTTTTGGACAACCTATTCAGAACGGAAAATAGTTTTTCTGTATGCTTGCAACTCTTGAATGCTCTCAAGAATGTCTTGATAGGCTCTGTGGGTAAACTGTTTCTGGGGCAGAGATTTGATGACCTGTGGATACCAGCGCCTAAGGAAATCAAATCAAAAGCTCAACATTATCAAATGAAGTCTTGTAGAATTGGGGTTTATGACAAACCAACCTGGCAAGCTCCTTGATAGTACTGACATCAAGAATGCGGTAATGAAGGTAGTTGTGAACAAGAGGCATTTCTCGCATAAGAAAAATTCTGTCCATATAGACAGAATTCCCTGCTAATGGACATTTTCCTTTTGGTACATGCTTCTTGAGAAACTCTAGTAGGATTCTCTCTGCATCTTCAAGGGATGTCTTACTCTCTCTGCATGCTTGAGTCAAGCCTGTCTATAAAAATGGGCAAAATATTGGACATTAAGAAGCTTCATGGGAATATGCCACAATAAGGAATGCTAGACTCTTATAAATACCACTTCTATGTTGCTCAATGGTCATACTCCCATAGGCAGGTACCTTGGTAATGGTCCATCCCTACAAGCATCATGTGGGCTGCAACAAATGTTGGATTTGATTTGAAATCCCTGCCCTATCAATGCCTTTATAGGGTGGTGGATCTGGGGACCAACTAACCCCCAAGGTACCTTGCTTGGGAGGCATGACCCTGAGTTGTGCAGAAAGGTGAAGAAAGAATGTTCTCTCAGGTGAAGCCTACTCCTGTATATTGTAACATCCCAATGTCATTTTACAGGGTACCCCAGGATTGTGGACTCCATGAATTGCAGCAAATGTTACACATATCAGCCTCTGAATGCGAGACAAATGGAGATATTACATCCAGTTATAGCACACATACTGTAAGATGTCTGTAGGTACCTGTGAGCAGCATGGTTAAACTATTTTACACTCCAGTAATGGAAAAAATGGAATTAGCAAGAAAGGCCACAATTCTGGGACACCTTGTACCATTTCTTTTCTGCTCAAATATATCATGTCGCATTCTCAATCATGGACTTCACAATTCCAAAATTATCTAGGCTACCTTGAGATGGTGCTCTTTGGGCCACTCAGCCATATTGTTAAGGATGTCATCTGGCCAGTTAATGACCTGCAGAGGACACTCGGCCACAACGTTCAAGTCACCATCAGTCACAATGCAGGCTGCTTCCAAGATGTGGTCACTCTCCACTTCCAAACCTGTCAACTGAGATGAGAGTGGGAATGCGAGACTTGAAGAAGTTTGTGACTGCAAAAAAAAATTATGGCTATTGATACCTCAAGATCTAGCCAGACCAACTGTTTGGCAGAGTCTGCCACTGATGATAGGGATGACAGGTTCTGAGTACTCATTTGTGAGAGACCTTGGGAATTCTGATGTGTGAAAAATGCTCTACTTGCTTTCCTACCAATCTTTAGAATGTTTCTGGTTGGCAATCTTGATGACAATATCCGCAGCATTTGATCACTTCTGTAGGGGTTTTCGCTGAGACACAAGAGAATATAATGTGTCAATATTAATTTTTTTTTTTTTTTACTAACCTGCAATCATTTGGATTAGAACAAAACATTTAAATTTTGATTGCAGATCCTTTTGCATTTGGGACGAGGAGAGATATTTTTTTTTTGGTCAGAAGTTGCCCCAATGAAGTGGCAGTTTGAGGATATTCCTCTTTCTGCAGGGATACTCACCCAAATGATAACAGCTTCATAAAATGCGATCTCTTTTATCCCCTACAACACAGTCAGTCCTGAACAACATTTTTCACAAGATCACAAGACAGGCAACATTTCACTGTTGACGATCACGCTGACTTGCAAGCCTCCTTCTGCCACTGCTGGATGTTTCCACGGTGGTTGTGAGTATGGCATTGGATAAAGCCACCACAGGTGAGAACAAACGTAGAGGAAAATCACTAAAAAAAAAACACCATAAACATCTAATAAGTTAAATAGGCAAGAAAGGGAGCAATCTTGACTAGGGAATTGGTTTCAACCTGGAGTCAAGGACAGGAGTAGCCTCATGTCCACTAATGATGAAGATTGGGAAGAGTAGGGAGAACATGCATCCTCTGACATAAGTAAACATATTGTAATTAGGGCAAATAGTATAAACTGCATCTAAAGAGGAGAGACATTGGATTCACCTCAAGAAGTAAGAAGCTGGTAGAGACGTAAAGAGGGCTAAAGGAAGGCCAAACCCAACGAAGTAGGGCCAATTGATCTCGATGAAAGAAAGACGACGGGGGAGTGTCCACCCCAGGCTAAACCACTTGTACTCGAATGCATACAGAGAATAGAGGAAGCACAAATGAAGTAGATAAAGCGCCTCAGCAACATATGCCAGTGGAAGCAGGCTCACCAAATAACTCTGTATGGAAAAAATGGCATCAATATCCATGAACAAACTGAGACAAAATCTGGCACACCATAACATGACTCACCTGAAAAAGGAAGAGGGTTTGAATGACAACACTAAAGAGAAAATCTGCCATGAGTTGACTTATGGAGGACCAACGAGATGACCTTCCACGGGTATGGTAAAAGGTCCAGTCAGCAATGTCCTAGGTTAATGAATCCAAGAACATCTTCTATTGAATATTGTGACTTAAAATGGAGTTTTCATGGAGGTTTCAATTGCCCACCTGGAACCACAGACAATTGACAAGTCTGGAGAGAAGGAAGAGAGGTAGGATCCATAGAATAGAGAAAAGGGTATGAAGGAGAGGTTGAAGGAATTCCCAAGAGGCGGCACTGGGTGAAAGGCGTTCCATACCCGGGAGAAGGACTTCAGTCCAAAGAATCAAACTCAAACCAAACACTCCTCCATTTAACGCACAGCACTGGCATAGGCGGCGAATCAAACGGCTCCTATAATGCAATATTTTGAATGAATGCAGAGTAAGAAAATCTCAACATTGAATCAGGGAATTTACCAACTTTGAAGAACTCTGTTCCTGATCTTTGATGGGAGCCTGCAGACGGGGAGGAGGCGGGGAAGGAGAGAGGTCAAGGAGCCATGTGATCCCTCGAAGACTGTCCAGTATTCCCCGCAGTATTCCATGGAACACTGAAATCATCTTTCCCCCCCTGCCCTTGGCCTCGCATCTCCACCCAGGTGAGTGTGAATTTCCTTCTCAATTCTTCTCTCTTTTTTTTCTTTCCTGAAGTTGAAAACTGCAATATGAAACTTTAGCAACTGCCACATTGCTGAAAGATGACTAACTTTCTCAAAGGTAAAGCATGAATTATTTCAAATGCATAACTGACAGCCATACCAGTGGTCACTGGATAGGATTGGAATGTCTTCCATCCCAGGAGGCCAAACTTTGAAGCAGGGCTGAATGTCTATTATCATATACTTGTTGTGACATTACAATGAAAAATGGGAAACTGGAAAATGATTAAAATAATTTCAGTAAGTATACCAAAATTATGATTTTCTACATGCTTATTTTCAAACTGATATATGCCAATATATTTAATTGCACTCACCATTTCAATAGATCTTAGCTCAATGACTGTAAGTACATAACTAGGAAGGTAATCAATAATACACAGATTTGGTGAAAAGTTGATAACTTCTCAGCTGTATTTACAAAAAGGATAATACTAAGTTTCTGCAAATAGAAAAAAATTTATACACATACAAGTAACAGAATAAGTTAACAGAATGGAAAATGTATGCTTATTGCATGAAATAAAATTTAACAAAAAAGAAATGCTTTACTAGCCCTTTCCAAAAGATGCAGTCCTACTGCTACTGCTACTATGTAGAAGAGTGAAAGAAATTTTAATTTCTTTCTGACAAGGTCCATGGTCAATCCATCATATGAAAAAAATCAGAAAAACACATTCTGGAAAATAGGAAAACACTGAAAAACCAGAATAAAATGAGAAACATCAATGGCGGTATTGATCCCGTGAATTGGACATGTATCGATCAGGGGGCCTTGGCCTCCTTGAATCTTCACTCTGTAACAGGAAAATGATGGGACATCATACAAGGCTGGTCAGTATAAGGGCAAATGGGACTTAAGGAAAACAGGGACCTACAGGAGGGTTTCGACTGGAGGCTGCGTAGGATCCACCCCAGGAAGCACTTCTAGATTGAGGAGGGCCCCAATATCCATCCGACTGCCTTCCTTGAGTTGAATACCCACCCCGATGAAACTGGGATTGTTCTCGGTCTCTCTCCCATCGACCACTTGAGTGACCCTGATGGGTGAGACCTCGTTCCTGGTCCCTTCCCCATTGATTGCTAGGGCGCCCCTGATAGTAGAGCCCTCGCTCTTGGTCTCTTTCCCATCGACTTCCTGACCCTTAAAAAATAATTTACTTCAACATTTTGGATGTCACTATTGCACATGTAAACATTCTTGGAGTGCTCATGTCTTTGGAGGGTGAAACTTCATTTGCAACAGCACACTAAGAACAAAGCCTCATAAGTGCATTATAGGCTATCAAGAGGCCATGGAAACCTTATACAGTGGTACCTCGCATAATGAACGCAATTCATTCCAGTGGTGCGTTCGTTATGCGAGGTGTTCGCGAGTGAAAGTGAAACATTTTTTCCTAATTTCCTTGATTTTTTGCGGCGACATGGAACAGATTACATGATTTCCCATAGACGTCTATGGGAAATTGTGTTTCGCATAACGAACGCACTGCTGGAACGAATTGCGTTCGTTATGCAAGGTACCACTGTATATTGATTCATCACATTCACTGCCAAATTCTCATTGTAATGAGGGCAAGTCCCAGAGGGGGGGGGGGTAAAGGAAATATTCTTGCAGCAGGAGCACATCTCCCTCCATGTTCCCTTCAAGGAGGCATTCATAGAGACAAACATTTTTCTTTCAGTCGCTTAACATTACATTGAGTTTGGGTCAATATTTCTTGCACAAAGATGGAAAGATGGGTTTTGAATGAATGATCACCTCCCAGATGGGGGGGGGCACTGACCTTGAATATGACCTCTTGAATATGCACCATGAAAAATGCAGAATATGTAAAAAAAAAAAAGCCTATGAAATTTAACCTGCATATCCCTCACACTGGAACTATTTTTTATAAAACTTGTGCCATGCATGGAGCAACATGTTCCCAACAGAATTTTGACATTTCAGCCAAAATGATTTTGACAAATTCATGAGTAATTCAATATAAATTAAACCTCAAGAATAGAAAAAGGGATGCCCATCCCTTCTGAGTGACTGAACTGCCTGCCTCATTCTCTGAATTAAACCAACAGGATATCTGAATAAATTTTGAGAAGACACTCTATTGATACTTAATGATTCATCAGTCATTCATTGGTAGAGAGTTTAGCAAAACCATCTGCAAAAAAAGAATGACTTTCGATGGGAGCGAAGTTGATATGCTACCACAGTGCTGAAGTGTTTCTTCCACTCCATTACCAGCATGAACTCCTGTCTGGTTTCAATACCCAACTTCTTTTGAATGTTGGCTCATAACCTTGCCTCAGAACTATAAATCTAGGAGACATTTTGATGGCATGTTGGAAACATAACCTTGATGCACAGTGTATGTTTCATGAAAATAGCCCCCTTAGAAGTGGTGATGTATTAGTCAGAAGTCATTGGTCCTTTTTATGCCATACCCTGTATATAGCATCAAGACATGCAAGCAACTAACATGTCTCAATCATTAATGGCACTATTGATAATTTTAGTAGGACCTTATTGCAAATGAAGAGCTTCACTGTCAATTGACATACATCAATATCTCACAACAACTTGAGGTCAAGGAAGAATGAAGGCATCCTGACCTTGACTTGGTTGCTGTTGGTGTTGCATGGGATAATTAAAAGATACACCAGCATGTCGGATGGCTCCCATGATGAGTTGAGCTGCTCGTTGATCATCAGGGATTGTGACTTGCCCCATGAGTGGAGGGGCGTTACGGTAAAGTGGGGCTCGAGGGGAATTATCTGGTCGACCCATGGAGCCTCTGCAACAGTACAGTGATATGTTCACACTTGGCATTCTTTAAAAAATTGTTAAAAAATTAAGTTAAAAAATTGTGAAAATGGGTCTTCTGCATTCTGCATGGATACAAAATCAAGCAATGAAATTGAAAGCCTCACCTGACAAATCGATGGCCAGCTGGGTTAAGATAAGCCTGTTGCCTTGAAGAATTGAAGCCTAACATGGGACGGTAGTTCCTGTTCTCTTCGTGGCTTAAGCCATATGCCTTCAATGTACGAGGTGGGTCTCTACAGGGACAATGTATGAAAGAAAGAGTTAATAATCAGCTATGCAAACACATGACAGTGAATGGAAAGCATGGACAACACCATACTTGGCATCAGGAAGCCGGACAGCAGGAAAAATGAATCCATGAGGATATTTGAGGTCCATGTACTGGAGGCAGAGGGTATGGTTCTGTTTAACACTTTCCAACCCATCCACAGGGCTTTCAAGCAATCTGTGATAAAATGAAAATATACACACATAGGAAAAACTACAGCTTTCTGAATTATAGTGTATTCCGCCAATATCCCCTCACCCGCCAGGTTCAACAACATTGGGTGACAGCAGCACATGACCAGCCATGCCCTGAAAGAGCTTAGGGTTCAGCTCATACTCTCGCTCTTGATCTCGGCAAGAATCGCCTTCATAAAGACCAGCCATGAATGAGAATCCAGTGTGTGAATCATTCACATACAGAACGGCCTCTCCTTTCACATTTCGCCTCTCTGAATATCAGAATGAAGCAAATTGAATTTGGTGATGAAAGCAAAGTACAGGTAGTAGAATTCTTTAAAGTTGAAAAGCACTTACTCTCATCATCAGTGAGAAGATCATAGAATGATTCAAGAGCTAGCTTCAACCTCATTTCATTGACAAATGGAAGGAGTGCCACTCCCTGCCATGCAAACTTCTTCCCATTCAGATCAATTTTGAAGTCAGTGGGATAAAAGTCAATGATTGAAGAGTCCTAGAGAAAAGATAACCAGATGTATAGGTGGGTAATGTTTAATTATAAATTGGAAAAAATTTGAATTTGATTGTTGGAAAATTCACTCACAGGATTGACCATGAGATCAGCCCAAGGTTCAGGTACGTGTGCACGACTGGCTGCAGGGAACACGCCCATCAACTGCTCCAAGGGGCGAAACTAGACATACATAGGGAGAAATCCTTTTTGTAATATTTTCCACCATGTATAGATCTCACATGTAATGAGTGGCTTCAGAAATATTTTGTCAGTATTAGTGCATGTATGGTACCTCATTTCCACACCATCAGCCCATTGGTTTATCTTTCAATAGAGGAAAGGGCTGGAGAAATTAGTTGAAAAAAAGTAAGAAAATAATTACTTTACTCAGACGAGCAGCAACATATCAATGCTGCTACATATTGAGAATCACTGGGATGATGCATTGACAGGGTTCCCTGCAAAGTGTGCAAGTGTTTCAACAACATGCTCTTGTCATGTACTGACATGCTTCACCTGAGACAAAGCTCAGCACACCCATACAAATGTTCCTTTTATCCCTAGAAATCTCTGGCTTCCCTTCTGTCTAGCATAGTAAACACCACGCTAATGGTTTCTCTGCATTGCATCTGCTTCAAGGATCTCCTTCAGGGAACCCTGACATGTAAGGCATGAAAAAAAGGGGACAAAACTCACAGGCTCAGTATTCTCTTCAAATTCTGTGTCAATGGCTTCCAGTTCCACAAAGTCAGAGGCAAAGGGTGCATAATGGTATGGATAATACCATTTCCAAGATGGACAACCCTACAACAAGAGCATGTGCAATCCATGAGCAAAAATAAGGATAATGATAGTCATGTAGCTTGCAAGATGGAAGGTGCAAATACCTGATAATAGTATCGAAGAACCCAGCAAAGACCATGGGCATATTCCTGAGCAACACGGAAACGGAACATGGGGTCATCAGAAGGAGCATCAAACTTGCTCTCATAATATCGCTCCTTGAAACCCTCTTCCCATAATCGCACTTCATCATGCGGCTCTTCGTCTTCGTCTTCCTTCACACGCTCTGTGTCCTCCAGCTTCCTCTTTGTACCTCTTTCTCCAGACTAAGATGAACAGAAATGATCAGTCACATATTTTACTTTCTGAGATCAGTTGAAGAAAGGCAGGGATGTGAACCTCAGAATGATTGTCTCGCATGGATGCACGAAGCTCCTGAGCCACAGCTCGATTTGAGGTAGATTGATGCATCTGGGCTCTTCCCATCTGAATCATTTCTTGTCTAGGATTGTGGATTGGCCTCACTGCTTCCCCAAGAGGCTAAATGGAGAAAGATATATTCTTTGGATTCAATACATATCATATTCTAATATGTACATTCTAATATCTATATGATTAAAGCCAACATCAGTCCTCCCATCCTCCTGTCTGTCTGTCCTCTGGAGGCCTGCACGGGCAAGCTTTTCCAAACCCAACCCAATTTGCATGATTAAAATTGTGGCCTGCCAACCTGCTGTAGGGCTGTTCAAGGTGGCCCACAGCCCACTTAGGTCTTCAAGCTTCAGAACTCAAGGTCTCAGCATATTCACATGATTGCCAAATGGAGCTACATGCCCAATCAGGTTGGTCTGATCAGGTCTATCTGCATCCCATGGTGAGCTCAAAAATCATCCCCTAATCTTTGTCCAATACCTGGACATTCAACATTTGAATGACATGTCTCATGTGAATGCTACAGAGTAGAACTTACTGGAAACTTGCATAAAGACTTATTGATCACACATAGCTGTGTGAAAATCAAACATTGTCCCTTTAGAATTTTATGAGATAGAACTCACTGAAAATTATTATAAAGGTAAATAGGGGCCTCTGATGATGGGGAGCATGCTCCTGCTTCATTTGATATCTGGGAGTTCCAAATTTATACAGTGTCTCATTTCAATATTTTGGAATGGAACCCTGCAAATTGGTAAATAGTGAAATTTGGGATGGGATTATGGGACACACCCAATATTATTGATCAATATGATTGACATAGCCATTCCATTTTCCAGCAGTGTGTCTCATTTGAAAGCTATATGATAGAATTAGATTACTCTCAATTAGGAAAGCATGAATGTTGCATGGATTACAGCTAGTATGAGAATATAGATAAAAGGAAGTTTTGATACTGACTACTGGATTAAATTGTCCACCAGGGATAAATGCAGGAGCGACTGATGACAAAGACTTCTCTCTTTTCTTCCTCTCCTTTTCCCTTCGCTTGTACTCTTGTTCTCGAGCCTGCCTCTGCCGGAAAATCTCATCTTCCACCTGGCCCAGGTCTGTCATGATGAGCTGCACACGCATCATGTTTACCAGACCACTATTTGTCACATAGCCACCAGTCTTGTAGACTGCCTTCTTGTAAAGGGAGACTAGACGATCTATGGCTCCTTCTCGGATCTCCAGGGATGGCAGGTGGGGAAGGAAGTCATTCCCAACAAAGAAGCACATAAACACCCAGTCATCAATAGCACGCTCTAGGTCAAACTTGAATGGAAGGTTTGGCATGTTCAACTCTCGTTCCAGGTATTCTCTAAGGACATTTAGCCGCACATAGATGTACTTTTGCTCAGCATACACTGGTGGAGGGAGTTCATCATGTTCTCCCTGTCGATTCTTGGGAAGGCCCTGGCACTCCTGCATCTCATGCCCTAGACATTTATCATAAATATAAATGAGTATTCCCCATGCACCTATTTTATCACAAAGGAGCAGTGTTGATTTGTTAAGGCCTACCCAACTGACTACAGATGTCACAGGGTCGTGGTTTGTTGGGCTTGAATTCCTCCCTGATAATGGTGAAATTGGGTTCATGAGTTGCAAGACCAAGCATAATGAGATCAGCATCAGCCCCACACAGCACATGGTGGGTGTTGGGATCATGGTCAGGTTGAGCTGAGAGATAATCATCAGAAATTGCAAACATTTCTCAAACATATATAAGCAAAATATTAAGAAAATCCAGGCAAACCTCGTTGCTTCCGAATAAAGTCCATGATTTTATGCTCTCCTTCTCCAGGGACATTAGCATCTGAAAGAATCACTTTGATATCTTTCCACCCTGGGTCATTGTTCAGCCGCTCATGAATATAATAATGAAGGCACTTGGCAAGTCGATCCATAAATGGAGTTCCCTGTAACCAATAGCATTTTTCATGTAGGATCACTTAATTTTACTTCCATGAGCAATACAAGAAAGGACTAAAAAGACAATAAATAACTATTCAAAGCATTGACAGATATAAGCATATCCCTGCAGTAAGCAATCATTTCATGGATGAATCTAGGACATGACACATTGAATGTCTGTATTTTTCTCATCCATCATGTACTGAATGGCTTTAAACCTAAGGCCCCTCCCAAGCCAAAACAAATAAAACCAGTTTAAAACAAAGTGTGATTCTGAAATCCTCTTTAAAAGGAGAATTGGACTGATGTCTTTTAATGCTTGGTATTTCTATCAAGAGTAAATATGACAGAATTGATTTGATCTAGATTTGGTATGCTTTCAGAAAGCCTTGCATGGCTAGTGCCTGGAAGCAAGGTGCCTTATCAAGAACATACACTCTAGTCCTCCATTCATCACTCCATTCCTTGATGATATGGAAAATATTTTGGACTTTCACGGGGTGACCCTTCTCCATAAGGCATCTTGTTTCAAGATACTGGTCACAAATGATTTGCTTGAACCCTATCCTACCCCAAGAAAACTGATGCTATCCTGTCTACCCATGACTTATTACATCAATCTTTCTTTCAATGAGGAATTCAGAAACATCCTGTTTTGCTTCACCCTGTATCTCAGATGAGCCAGAGATTGATGGTATGAAGAAATGATTGCTTCCCATAGACATCCAGTGGATATGAGGATTCCAAGCAGTTCCATTTTTCAAATATACGCTACATTGCCAAGGACATTTACAGAAAGTCTGACAGGTGCATCCCTAGGATATCTCCATATGATGTCCAACAAATGACAAAATGGCTCAATTCAAGCATGTTTCTGGGAAGTACTACAGCCTCAAATGGGATGAACTGTTGCTCCTTGGATAGCATTTTAGCACAGATACAGTTACAGTATTTTATAGGATTTTGCTAGTCTCAATTTTTAACCCATTGAGGAATGTTTTTTTTTTAAATCTAGATCACCTGTAGTGAATACATGGAGGGCAGGAGGATGTCAGGCCATATATATATGGGCATACTCGTCAAAGGGTTAAGCACAGTTTATTTTTGCAGTATTTTCATTGAAACTGAGTACTCACCGGGGTTATACAATTGCTGTCAAAATGGAAACCTTTGTTTTTCTCTTCAGGTAGATGGGCTCCTTTCTCAAGAAGTTCCTCCTTGATATTATTCACTTCCTGTTGCTTCTCCCAGCTCTCCTTCGAGGCACGAAACCGTCGACTCCTCTGCTGATTCATTTTGGCTCTTGGGGCCTAAGACCAGGAAGGTTTCATGAATGCTCTTTTGCACACTCACATATTATTATAGCTTTCCAGGTTTACACATACCACTCCATCAATGGCCATGTAAAGGAGCTTTCTTGGTCTCACAATGCTAAAGATTCTATCAATGAAGTCAAAGATGGCCCTCATCATTTCATCTTCATCTCTTGGAGCAGGCCTAATGGACACCATACATATTAATGGTGACTTGATGGTACTTTCTCTGCCTTCAAATAAAAAATCTTTAAATATAAGTTAACTCACCTGTCCTCAGGATGAGTACAAGGATGAATGATGCCATTCATGTCAAGATAAAGATTGTCAAATTCTATTTCATTAGGGTTTGGTTTAGATGTGTCAACTGGAATAGTCACTCCATCCACCTGTTGTGCCTGGAAGATGATGGAAATAGATGAATGAGCGAGTATAAGTTTACAAGACTTTTGCACACATAATCTTGAATTACTTGAGTGTGGGATGTGATTATCAGCACACTTGCTTAACAGAATCAGAAAATTCCTCCAATTGGGATGGAAGTCTCAATTTCCCTTTCAAAACCACAGACAAGTTCAAAACCTTCTGGTGTCCCAGTATAGCAAGTCAAAGATGAGTGAAAATGGGTTCAGGAAAATGATTTCAATGCATGCCACAGAGGATGGATTTCATTATTTCTTCTGAAGAATAAGCTTCTTCTGACTTCCATGTAAAAGCAGAAGCACCATGGCATAGATCATGTGATTTTCTTCATTGCTCAATAAATGATTAAAGGAGATCTTTGAAATATAGAGAATGACTAAGAAAGAGTAAGGCAATTGAAGCAAGGGGCAGCCATTTTTCTTTAATATACAGGAAGAACATGTGATTCATGCTTCATAAACCTCATAGCCTCATGAAGAGGCTTAATATTAAGCCTATGGACATGATCTCAATGGCTGAGCCCAGGAGGTCATCTGAAATCTCATCCAAAGGTTCTGAAAACTGTGAAAGCAAACTGAACTACACTGTTTCTGGATTGAATTCATACACCCCCACCATGAGAGTGCTTCCATCATTAGCAGGTAGTGACATCTTCCATTTGAGAGGTTACATGTATCACCTGATGAGGCAGACCCTCTGGAAGAGGTGTTTTCTCTATTCTTTACTATAGGGAGGTCTACAAATTCAATCCAAAAACAATGTAGAACTTCAAGCAAAGATACACTGCATACCTTCTCTTCTACACAATACACGATGACTGATGGATACTTGCGAGTGAGCCACCTGAAGAATGCTGGAACACCCATTCTGAAGATTAGTATGGGCCTTCTCCTGAAGTCAAAGAGCTTTTGCAATTCCAACCAAGACCTGAGATTTACTGAACCTGGATATAAACAAGTCATGTCAAATGAGTGTGATTGGGGTCAGCCACAGTAAGACAGTTGAGGCAGTCTGTTAACTAGGTCTAAAATGGAGCCTTATGTATATGCTCACATGAATCATACAATTTGAAATTTTCAATCAACTACAATTTTTTGTTACTTGGGCAGCTGAAACCAAGATATAGAGTAAAAAAAAAAAATAAATAAAGTGAAATAAAATAACATAAAAAAGAATAATAAAAAAACCAGGATAATGATTCCTTCAAGAAAAGAGATACCAGTCTAACTTTGATTGTTCACTATTTGATGTTCAAATTGTGGTGTTCTTTCACATCTCTTAGCATAACAAAATTTACATACCTTCAAAGGTGAAGCCTATATCAAGCCTATGGCTCTAAGGAGGATTCTTCAGCAAGAGGGAATATAAGAATACTATCCTACCCCCAACATTCAGCTTCTTTTTTTTCTTGAAAACTGAATAATAATAAAAAACAGGGAAATTCACACAAGGGAGAATATTTTGTTGAGAGTATCAAGCATCCACCATCCAATTCATGCTGGGGGGGAGAGGGGGGTAAAGCTACACAAGGGTAAAATTAGGAAGGAATAAGTAGATGCCATATCATCCTTAGGGATAATGGCTACAACTGTCCATTGGAATGCATGAAGAGAGATTAAGTTTCAAATTATTTTAATGGTGCTGTAAATGCTACAGGTTGTCCACTTCCATGTAAAAGATGATAACTCCATTTGAATTCAGGTATACAGTGATTTCATGAGTGTGAATTTAATGAACTCTTTTCACAAAAAAAACTGGTTTCTATGAATCAAGTAGTACCAGCAGAACTTAAGTTTCCTCTTATCTTACATAAAATGGTAACTGGAAATCAGGAGTTATCCCTAGAATTAGAACACCAGTAACACCAGCCACCAGCATCTCTATAGACATGTAAATGCATAATAAAATCGCTGTAAGCTGAGGATGATTTGTGGAAGTGCTGCAGACAATGGTGGTCCTTTTGATTGATGGGTTGACATTTATCTAAATGCAACTGTGTTTAAATTGAATTTGACTTAGCTGCTACATGAATTCAACCTCAATTTGTTTGGTGAGTTATACTAATTAGCTCCAAAACAGGGAGCTATTCTTTGACATCATGGTTGTAAGCTACTCTTACAATTGGCAATTAAGGACAAAGATATTATGTTCCTCATTTAAAGAACATGTATGGACTTTGCACCTTGAGATTCTTGGTTTCAACAAGCCCTATGGTTATTTATTAAATTTTTGCTCTTCTTAATTAAGTCCATACACTTTCTAAACAAATTGCACCTCCCTAGAAACTTTTCCAGTGTATATCAGTCCATTCTGCTTGTAAACATCTTTAAATAATAAAAAATCGAAAAATAATCATATGCAGTTCGAAAATGAATATTTAAAAAGTAAACTTACAAGGTGAAACCAAAATAATACTAAGTCAAGCTGAACTCTTCATAGGCCTATTCTTTTGGCACTTTTTCCTTCGGGCCAATAGCGTATTATCCACCGAACAGTCAACAGAATTCATCATAAGTTACAATGCCTAAAACCCTCCTAATCCTACACTCACGTGTATTATTTATGGGCAACACATAACACTGGCTCTATGCAAGGCAGGATCCTTTGCACAAAGCCATTCTAGAACATTAACACAATCTATGAACTGGCTGAATTTTGAACTAGGTGTCCTCAGATACACAAATAATTATGACAGGCGAAGCGGCTCGACCTCATAAAAAGGTGAAATGAGCAGGGAAAAATAAATGTTTCAACTTGAATAGAAGGGGTTGACGTGAGGCCGTGACGTGAGGTTCATGGTTTGGGGAAAATAAGGCTAATATTTGAACTCCAGTGCGCGATTCATAGCCTGCTGGTTTAAAATTGCAATAAAGGCTTTACAGCAATTTCAAATAGGAACAACCCGCAAAAGAGGAGACGATCCCCAGACTTCCAGCACAAGGCAAGTAATGCCTACCTACAGGGAGCAGCCATCACAACGTCGTCACAACTGTGAGGGGCGCGCATTGGGGAAAGTTTCCTTTTCAGAAAAGGTATGAAGGTATCACGTAGCCACAGTATGTCCTAGGTCTATGATGGTTTAAACCCAGTCTCTCTGGGCTCCGCCGAATCCCTACGAGTTTGCTGTTTGCCGGGAAGGGAGCAACGTGATCTCGTGACGTTGCTCACTCAACGCTAGAAGAAAGTACAGGTATTCGAAAGTGGAAGTGATATAATACGATCTCAGTCCTTTGGTTTCACTAGTTGTAATTATCCAATCACCCTACCTTGCACCCCAATGACTAATTTTTTTTGGCACATACAAGGGGCAATCAAAAAGTTTTCTCCCCGAGTCGCAATGAATTTTTCAATATGTATGGCATGGTTGCAAAAGTTTAGTCTATACGATGACAAAGGGTGAATGTCATTACTTTTTGGCACTCCCTATATTATTTTTCAGCCTCGCTTCTTGGTCTGAACGCGCGATGGCAATGAAAATGAGCAAATTTGAAGCATGTGCTGCGAAAAAAAAGTATTGCAAAGGACGAGTGTTGGCGTTCTCAAGATTCACATTAGATTTACGTCTCCAGCATTATCCTCAGACTTCCCGGAACTCTCTTCATTACCGAGCTTGGAATCTTGTTCACTGTCTCTCGTCATGCTATCAATGCGTTCATATTCAATCAGTCTCGCAATAAACTGGATCTGGAAAGCTGACGTTCCCTTTCAGCGCTAATATTTAATATATACTTTAAAAAAAATTGTGTGCGATCAAAAAAAGTGGCAGGAAGCCAGACCATTGCAGAATGCCATTTAGGGGGCTGGTACACTTTCACGTGGAATCAAATTCATTTTTCTTAATGCATATGGTATATGTTCTCACCATTCTCATGCATTGAGTAAACAGTTTCCAGTTGAATCTGAGATTTTCCTCCCCTGACTCGGACACCCATGCAGGAAAAGTATCATTTGACGGGAGTGCCTGAAAAAATGTCGAACTCAAGTAATAAAAAAAAAGGATTCCAAACGCATTACAGCTTTCCACATCCGCAAGGAGCTGACATGCAAATATGTCAGCATATTTCAAGCATATGTCAGCATATTTCAAAACTCAAGAATGGCAAAAGTATAGCAACGATTCAAATATCCATCACCTTACACATGCATTCATGTCAATTAACATTTCTCCATAGTCAAGCTATGGCAATGACACGAACCAGGGCATATTGTGAGAAAAAAATCAGAACTGCACAAATGATTATAACCTTTCTATAGGGGTGGTTGTTACGGTGCTAAGCCCCCCCCCCCCCCCCCCTGCGCGGAGCGCGATAATTTGGGAAGAAAATTAAATTTAGCACCATTTTAAAGTCAAATTTTGTCTGAAAATGTAATACTGTACTTGCCCAGTCTTGAGCTGCACAAATTCCAATTCAGAACTACACAAAATATTTCGGAACTGCACATACCTGTTGCAACTGCACATTAAAATATGCCCTGAAACGAACATTTGCAACAACAAAAAATATAATTCCTACGATGGGTGATCCCAACATACGGAGGCTTCGAGAAGCAGGCTGAAGCCCAGCAACCAAACGGGGTATTCCTTCCAATGTGCAGCTCTCTTCACGTCCAACCGTTTCCGCAGAGGTCGATGACAAACACAAAGTTACGAATCTACGAACTTCACATGAGTCAACGACTTCTTGTCGCAAGTCACTTTGTCGAAAGAAAATTCATACCAGGTATCCGTTGGAATGGAATTCGTGTCGCACGGCTTAATCAACCAGTTACACCATAATACCTTCCGTCGCAAGGTCACACCGTGAAATGAACGTATGGGAGTGGAAAACCAGTTCTCTCACTTTAATCCCCAAATGGTTGAAGGCAAGACTAACGGATTCCTACGTATATCGCTCATTTGACCATCTTCGCGAATGTAATGGCGACCAAAAAAAAAAAGGTATTGGAGGCTGTTATAGAAAACTACGATTTTTTTTAAAGGCGGATGGCGATTTCTACATTTCAAACTTCTTTCTGATGCATTGTGAAAGTATATTCTGTAGCTGATCCATTCTTGGGATTCATGGACCCGGTAACTTGGGAAATAGAAAGGAAAGGCCTTTTTTCTTTCTCCATCTCATCTCCTCGCTGAACTCTTTGACCTAGTTTGATGAGTCCGGCCTTGGCTCCATCTGTCCTTGGCGATGGCTCTTCATTTCACGTGAAAATAAATCCATGGGGATAAGATAAATGGACGGGTATCTGGTGGTTCTTGTGCAGTGGGAGCCAGCGCGTGGTTTCCACATGACTGGGCGGGGGGAACCTCTAACTTGCGACACAAGGTCAGACATACAGTCGGGAGAAGATGGAGTGGGGAGGAATATACGCCATCTCGTTTTGAAACGCTCCCACTATCAAATCGCATAGATTATTTCTGTTAAGTTTGCATAAAGGTCATGAGTAATGATCCTCAAAATATTCCATGAAAATATCCTTTCATCATGGCCTGAGCCAGCATCATCCTAAGCCCTAATTTGAATCAGTGTGAGCCTCAGCGGGATGATCCTGAATGGCATAACAGACACATACAGGGTGGCCCAGAAGTAATAGGGCAGTTAGTGGTACAATCACTACAGTTTTATTATAATTTCATTATTTTGATAATTAATTGATTTTTCAGAAATTGAAATTTCAGAATCACTAATCATAAAGTAAAATAAAAATTGTAGTGACTGCTGATTGTACTACTAACTGCCCTATTACTTCTGGGCCAACTTGTATATCCATGTCCTCAAACCTAGTAACCTAGCACCCTGCTAAAGGAACGAAAGGCAACATCGCCTTCAATCTATTTAAATTTAGCATCAAGCAGGTAGCATGCAAGCATTATACAGACATAGAGGCCAACAGTGCATTGATAAATAACTAACTGAAGCCTGCAAGGTTGAGATAGTGTATATACAAGATGTCTAAAGACTTCCTTGAGTATAACATGTATATCCTCTGCATTCAAACACACTGATCTAAACACTCCTTAGCCCCTTTGGCAGCCTATTATTTTCCTTCAAGTCCACCAGAAATTCTCTTCTTGTTTGCAACCACACACATAGTTAAGATAGGTATCTTTATTCTTTGTCATACCTCTCTGTACACAGGCAGTCAGTAGACAGCATAAACTGGACTCAGGATATGAAACACAAGCCCCCCCTCCCTCTCCTCTTCAGTGCCTATGCTGAGCTCAGGTAAGATGCCAAAGGGGTAAAAATGCATGGATAAAAACTACAACCCCTCGAAATATACACCTGCATTTGGGATGTGAATGAAATTATTTGAAACATGAACTATCTTTTATTGCGCAAGAATATCTTTCACCGTGAAGAACACATCACAACAACATGGAATGTGTTGTACAGTACTCACAGAAATGCAAACTCCACATCATCTCCAAGCACATCAGGAAGAATATTAACCATATGAAGCATCAGAAGGAAACAGAAAAAATTAAGAACAATATGACCAAGCACTGTGTTAGAAAGAAGCACAAGTTCTCTTTTGCATAAAAAAGGAAAAGAAGAGATTCACTCAAGAGATGGGTGGATTCTCTTCTGGACTGCTGATTGACAGGGAGGAGATGAGTTCCATGCTCTCAGTCATTCTCTCTCCTGTTGTACCATGATTCATTGGTGCACCTCCTCCAGGCATCTAAAAATAGAAAACATATACAATATAGAGAATCAATTCTATTTCAAAAATTCAAAATGAAAGAAACAAAGAGAAACTCATTCTCTCTCCTATTTTACGATTTCAAAGATGAGACAGGAGGGAAAATAGATTTTGTAAATAATAGCTTACCTGTTCCATGGACAAAACACCAGACAGTTCCCCAGAAATGTTGAGATAATATGCAAGGTCCATGGTGGTGGACTGTCCAATGAGCTCTCGACTGTCCATGTCCAAAATATTCTGCTCAGTTTCCCCCTGATTGGAAGTGGTTCCCAATTCCACTGGCATAATAGGCCGAAGGTTAATTGAGTATGGAATGCTTGGTGCTACACTCATTGGTTCCTCCATCTTCACCACACTTCCACCTGATAAAGACCGTGTGTTCCTCAACAGATGTGGAGCCAGAGAGTCTTGTAAGGAAGGCGTGAAAGTCGGTGTAGTGCCTGGTGGGATATAGGCTGCTCCCATATGTGAGGGAGACATTCCTCTTTCTGGGGTAGATGGAGATATGGCTTCAAGTGGAAGAGATGGAGACACAGCTCCAAGGCAATGAGATGGAGAAACAGAACCTGCTAAATGTACAGGAGACATCATTCCAGGTTGTGGTGCACTCCCTCTCTTGGATGCAATCTTTTCTGCAAGACAAAGGAAAGGCCTTACTGTGGAATTCAATATTTAAAAAATTTGCATGTATAGTAACAAAAGAAGACTAAAAAAAAAAAAGAAAAAAAAAAAGAAAGAAACTCTTGGTACTCTGAATAACCTTTTTTTTTGGGACAAGCACAAAAATGATTCATGTACAGTCAAAGTCTACCTATTTCACTTATTGTTTTCCCCCCCCCCCCCATTGCTATTCCTCAATCATTGAATTTCTGGCTACCAACTCTCTCCTGTGCTTGGGCTAAAAAATGTTTTCATTACCAATTCTCAAGGAAAGTAAACAGCTACAGACCTGCAACAGAAGAGGATTGGGTACGGCCACGAGGCTTGCGTGTGACATGTTTCATGGGACGACTGCTTGGGGGGGCCACTGTAAGGTGATCCAGTAAGGATGATGCATCCAAGTGGAGATCTCCAATCTGTACTACAGCTTCCATCTCTTGCTCTCCAAGGGAAATATCAAGAAGTCTCAATGGTTGGGTTGCATAATCCAAGACAATAAAAAGTCTGTATGACACACCTTGAAGAAAACAAATTACAAACCAGCCCAACAAAGCATGGAAACATCCCATGTGCATTCAAATTGGATTTTAAAACTCCACTGTCCCATAATACAAGTATCTTTTCGCTTTACCAGCTTTTTCTCAGACTACAGTTGGATAACATGACAGGACCTCAGAACTACATTATTCTTTTGACTGATCATACACAGAGAAAATGGGAAAAAAATACAGGGTGATCAAGAAGTCATGCAATGCAAAATAAATCTTGCCATGGTCAAAAGAAACAGCACAAAAACTTTTTATTCCACTGGAATCTAGTTCCATTAGTGTAGCACCCATAACTTCAGTTTGAAGGCTGTGGTAGGTGTACACGCAGCCCTATACAAAGTGTGTTCAAAAGCTTACTGTAGGTATTCACAGGAGGTACGATAGCTGCCAAGACTTCATTCGTATTGCATGAATTAGAGTATATAACCATATGCAAGTTGACCCTGCTCTGCAAATTTAACTTGCAGGGCCAAATCATCCAAGGCTAACTTGAACCACCCAATGTGGCACACAGGTTGAACTTGGATGGGCAAACCCTTGTTCATGTTAACCTGGATTGCACATTTTTGCACAAGTTCAGAAAAGCACTTCATCTTGACCAGAATAATGATTGTATGCCTTTGGTTCCAGGTTATTGTTTCATTTTCAACAAGCATGTCAAACACCACAAAATGAATTAGTTGAGCACACTTCTGAATAAAATAAAGAACATGAAGTCAAATTTTACAAAAATAAAGGATCTGAAACAATTTTGCCAATGCCTACATTCAAGTCTTTCTTTTGTGCATGCTTTTTTGATTCCTATCCATTTGTTGGAACATGTTGATGGCTCGTGGCATCAAGAGATGCACTGTGTATTATTGGCCAACATTGTAGTGCAAGTGTCCTTGCTCACTCCATGTGCTCATTTTCTTGTCCATGTGGCAAAGTGGTAGTTTTTTTCAGATTTATATCTTTAAGGGTCTAGATACATGGTCTGATCAAAAAGTTCTGAGACTGAATTTTTTTCTGGCTACTGATTGTTAACTCCTTTGAAGTAGTCCTCTTTGGCATCTATGTAATTTTTCCAGTATCTCTTCAGCCACTGGAAGCATGGCTGATACTAGTCCTTTAGAATCACTAACTGTGATTGCATAGTGTTTGTAGCTCTGCTTTGAATGTCCAGAGATCTCCTTCCTTTCAGCACACTCTCTTTAGCTTATGGAAAAATAAGAAATCCCTGGGAGCCAAGTCCAGTGAGTAGGGTGGATGAGGAAGCACAGGGTTCAAGGAGTAGGTCAGAAATTGCTGTACAGCATAGACGTGCAGGGCCCTGTCTTGCTGCAGAATCCACGACCTTACCTGCCACCTTCCTCTTTCTGCAAACAGCAATGTGCAGATGAGTGAGCACAGTGAGGTAGTACCAGAAGGGTAAACAGTGATTAAAACTTACAACTTCATTGTGAGAAAGAGAAAAAAAAGGAGAAAATCCTTGCCTCCCACTTTCCTCACTTTTCAGAATGAGAAAATTGGGAGGCAAGTTGGTGGATTCTGTATCATGACAACACCCAGGCCCAGCACATCTTCACTGTGCAGCAATTTCAAATCTACCCCACAACCCTGTGCTTCATTGTCCACTCTACTCACTAGACTTGCTTCCAGTAATTTCTTGTTCCATAAGCTAAAGAGTGTGCTGAAAGGAAGGAGATTTCAGGACATTCAAAGCAGTTACAAATGTGATGCAAGTGCTGTTGGTGATTCCAAAAGGATAGTATCAGTTGAAGAAGCACCAGAAAAATTTTGTTGATGTTGAGGAGGATCACTTCAAAGGAGTCACCAAAGCATCACAAAAAAATTCAGTCTCAAAACTTTTTGTCCAGACCATGTATGTATCCTGAACTTGCACTTAAGTCCATAATGTGGGTTAACTTGCATAAGAAAGAAAGCATGCAAGTTGATACATATGGGAAAAATTGGACAAGTTTAAGTTGCACGGTATACATAATACAAGTTCAACTTGCATACAACATATATATGCCTTGTATAGGGCTGCTGTGTACTATCACTATCACTGAGCCTTCAAACTAATGTTATGGGTGCTACACTAGTGAAATCATGTTCCTGTGGAATAAAAAATTTGTGTTGCTTCTTTTGGTCGCAATAAGATTTCTTGTATGTTGTGCAACTTCTCAATTACCCAATAGAAGACTTTTGCATAGGGGTCAGTCCATACCAAGTGGTCCTAGGATTTTAGCCAGAAATTTCTCTAAAAATGCAAAAATTACTTTTGCTACAAAGTTCATCTCTTTTCCCAGAAGGCATGTGTGGAGGAGAATAATACATGGAAAAAGGAAAAAATTAGTCATGTTTATTGTATATAATATACAATAAACATGGCTAATTTTTTCCTACCATTAATTTTTCTACTAATTTTTCATACCATTCTAAAGATATTCATGGATGTGATGAAAATGCAAACTTGAAGAGACTGAATTGTACTACTGGAACAGATGCCATCATTGGTTCTCAAAAGCATACTGATAATTTCAGGTCAGGTGTGAAGAGTAGATGTCAATAGTTCATATTTGAATATCTTAAAAATTATATTAAAAAATATGAAGAGACTTTCCATTTTAAAATACATTTTCCGAATGTCACATCTGACAGTTGCAAAACAGATCTTACTTTCTTTTCCAAGTTTTGTAATGCTGGGGTTACTTACACTAAGTAAAGGCTTTCATTTAAACTATAGAATGAACATAATACTAAGTTATTAGGTTCTGCTCTATGACAGAAATGTGAAAATTAGAGTAAGTGACTTTAACCTGAGCTTTATCAAATGTCATGTCTGACACCTTCCTTTGCACATGGATACACCTCCAGCAAAAGAGAGTATGCAAGATTTTGGATTATGGAACTTTCAGTCACTGCTTAAGGCAAATTGTTGCAACCTTTTTACATTGAATCATGATTTATAATAAAGTTAAATACATTTTGTATATCAAACATATTACTCCAGATGTCACATCTGACATAGTGGACAGACCCATAGTTAGAACCCATAGATGTACACAAGACATGATGGGAATAGACATCAATGGAATGCAACTAGTTTCTTGGTTGTGTGCTACAGGATATCTAAGTGACTTCTGGGTAAATTACTGAGATATCATAAAATTAGGCCATTTTGACATCCATGAGGCAGTGGATCCAATAAAGATTTCCCTAAACGTACTAAAGTCTGATGTGGGATGCACAAGGGATGTTCCAGGGATGACCCATGGTTCCTTGGGCAAGGGGGAAAGAGAAACAATGGAGGGATGAAGTGCAACAAGGGCATGCATTGGAAATGATGAAGCTCATAGCACAAGAGATAAGCAAACCAAGCCAAAAAGATGCAACTGCTACAAAAATCATAAGCATACCAAGGAAACTGCTGACATTCCACAGCCAAAGATAAGCAGGCATTTTTCATAGTAATAGAAAACTCAAGAGTTGAAAAAAATAAAAACTTGGCAATATTTGACAACCTCAAAAAAAAAAAAAAACTCCAACAGAAATGGAATAGCAATCATACAACACACTAAGTACAGGCATTCAAACCCATACCTGATTGTATCAAGGATGCTGAAGAAAACTTGAACTGGTACCCATTTGTGATCCCCTGTTAGATCAGAGAACTTGCACATGATGAATTCTTTCTCATAACACCCTTGAGTAATGGGAAATGGCGATCCTTCCAGGCTTTCATGTTTATATTTTTCAATATTAGCCATACCAACCTCTGTGAGCAATTGTGTTAAAACTAATCCCTCAAATTTACAAATGGAAAATTATGATTTGTCCAGCAGCATATGTGCCTGTGACAACATGAGTGCTAGTGCAAAAAAATAAGCAATGTCTAGTATATTTATCAATTTCCCAGTTCCAATGGGTTAGATGGGTTTTTCACCTGCTCAGAGAATCTTCTGTCAACTTTTCCTGCTCTGTCCTCTTAAAATAATGAAGGGGAGGTATCCAGTTTCAGAAAATTCCTGGCTAGAACCTTAATTCCTCCAGGTGTTGATTGGAAAAATGCATGTAACACCAGCACTTGCCCAAATGCAAGTGGATATATGCAGTATTTTCTGACCAATTGCATATTTTCTGAAGTCCATTTTATCCAATATTTTTGCTAAAACCAGCCTAACACAATTCATAAACCATCCTGAACTAGTGCTTCTAGCATCAAATCTTGATGTCATAATGGATGGATTTGCCTCTTGACACCCCTAACCAAACCTTGAAACCCCCATCTGCCATCTAAACGATCTGAGGTCATGGACATCACTCTCATTCAAAAGTGATAAAACGAAGACTTCAGAAGTTGAACATCAGATAGCAGTTGTTGAGTGCAAGATAGATTTTCAATGTTCAGCTCACACTCCATATTACTAGATCCCTGAGAGACTCTTGACTGCTTCACAGCTAATTCAACACCAAAAAAAAAAAAACTGGAGTGACATATATTCTATAACTTTTGGAGAGATGTGGTGGCAGAGACCTGCCTATTCCCTGTGAGCAATAATGGCCAAGACCAACAACTTGGAAATGACAGCTGCAATCATTTTCATGGGATATATGATAGCACCAAGAAAACTTTCTCTCAAAACGGTGATGCAAGATAAACTTGAATCAGGTAAGGACCCCATGCAATTATATCAAATTAATTCAGATCTGCAAGCAGAGCAAGTGGACCTGGGCTTAGCACCTAACATGAAGAGGAAATGATTAACAGAAAAAAAGTATTTTGCAAATGGCAATGAGTGAGGGAGTATGTCCAATAAGAAAAACAAGAAAAGGTGAAACTAAAAGTTTTTCAGGACTAAAATGGATTGGAGAAGATTAGATGAAATGGTGTATTTGTTACAGCAGAGTATGAAATCAGGTATTCTATATAGTATACTTAGGTTTTCTATACATTATCTGAATTTTATACTCTGCCTGTACGTGCCTGCAACATATACATGGAGAAGCCTTCATTCAACAGTTGACAGAAAATCACATATGATGATGGAGCTCTACAAAGCCATCCCTGCCAACCTTCTTGGTTCATGAAAGTGTAACGAGTACTTGTAACCTATGTTTCCTTCAGTTGAAATAGATTTATCTAGAAATTTATGGTTTTGGGACAGTTGCTCAGAAGCTGACAGGTCTTTCCATGAAGGAATCAAGCAAGCTTAAACCTGAAGAAGTGAGCTTTCATTAAAACTTCAAGATCTTAATACCTGTCTAGAGGAAAAGTTAAGCCAGGAGAAGAAATGCTAGATACAAGCAGCAAAGATCCCTTCACCAGGAGACATAAGCGCATGAAAAGACTCAATGTCGTTGGATGGAGAGTACTCACTACTCTGAGGGGCAGCTTCTCTTAGGTACTGGTTCAATTCATGATTGGGTGAAAACCTGGGAATTTTCTTCTTTCTCCCTCCCTCCCTGCACTGGTCACACCATTCTAAGGCAATGAATGCAAGACACCACTATCAATATTACAGTCACAAACTCACTCTTCATTGAATTCAATCAAGAATATTTAGCCTAGAACACACTGGGCTTATCCATTGATCAAAGGTCAGAGCTGGGATACTGATTGCTTCTCTCCACATAAATGAGGCAATAGACTTCCAAAAGGATGCTGAAAGCAGTTCTAGTAGGCTCATAAGGGAGACATAACAGGTGCAATCAGGATTCCAGCATGCAAAACCATGTCATTCAACCAATTGACAAAAGTGTCATACATAAATTTCAATAATTAGAATCTCAGACTCTAACAAAGTCCTGCATTTGCTTGGAATTACATACTGTATCTGGCCGCTAAAGCACTTCCAGTACTCTCCTATTGTATTGACTGGTCACACATTATGACAAGAAATAAATAATAAACTGAAGTCATGCATGTATATCATGCAAGCAAATACAGGAACCTCCTGAATAAGAGCTAGAGCATGTCTCAACAATTCTATTAGCATAAAAATCATCAACTGGAGGTAGCATCTTCTTAGCTAAAAATGAGCAACTCAATTATATCACAAAAACACAATTCAACAGTATGATTTCAGACTAGCATGACTAGGAAGCAGAAAGGATAAAGCTTTTTCCAGATTCATGTGTGGCATCACATCAATATCAGCACCGGAATGGAGCCTCATTCCAATGGCAGATGTAGGGACCACATCCCTCATACAAACAGATCCAGAACAGGTAAGGGGACATAATCAGGGTCAGTAATAAATGAGTATATTGATGTTGTCTCATCAACATTGTTATTATTCTTATTATTATCATTATTGGCAATCATGGTCCTCTGTTCAGTATATGCATCAGGGACACTTGTTGACAAGTTCCCATTTGGGTCATGGATCTGGGAGTATAATGAAAGTGTCTCCAGGTCATCCAATTCAGACATGTTGGCAAGAGGGGCCTGATCAGTGTAGAGGGCTAGCTTCTCATCATCATCAAAAAACTCAGGTGGAGCAGGATGATGATAGAGGAGTGGATCCCCACTTGATTCAGTGTTGGAAATTGGCAGTCCAGATCGTAGTCTTTTAAGCCTCTTGGGTGGGAGAGGAGGAGGTGAATCACCTTGTTGACTCCCTTGCGGAACCAAATCCAGGTCCCCTACAACATCCTTCAGGTCAGCTTTCATCTCCTTCGTGTATGAACGAAGAGTATCAAAGTACTGCTCAATTCCTGAGTGTGATGATGTTCCTTGCCCTTCAGGCTTGTCATCAGACAGAAAACGTATATTGTTGACAAGAAAGCCTGAGTCAGCCGCGAGGATGCGCCGGAACATGTCGTGTGTAGACGAAGATGATGCCTTGCTGAGGAGAGGATTGCGAGAAAGAGAATGTGGACAGTTGATACCTGCATTGAGGGGAAGATATTGGAAGTCTCGTGGTTCACTGTGTTCCCCATCACTTGGCCTCTCCAACTGAATCTGACACAGCACCAAGTCCTTTACCTGTGTTTCCCATAGTGAAACATTATGTAAATCAACCTCCAACCTTCCTTAAAAGGCAAAGTACATATTGAAATGAAACCTAACCTCGAGACTTTTATACCGGGGAGTTCGAAGGATGATGGCATATTGTTTGTGAACATCTGAAGCCTGAAAGTCACCATAAGCTTCCCATACCACCTCATTGGCTTTGTTCTTCTCAAAGAACTTCACAGCAATGTCATCTGAATAAGAAACATACCAGTAACAGCCCATAAATTAGGACATTCTCCTTAGGAGAGGCAAATAAGAAAGCTCCAAAAAACTAATACCTTTGTTGACTTTTTCACAAAGGATAATCATTTCCCTGCCTCCAGCCACTGAGCTGTTATAGTGCGACAGTCGATAAATGAAGAGATCTTTCACGGATTTGTTACCATAGATAGGATCTGACACCACTGGCTCCAGCTGAATGGGGTACTTATTCTTCTCTGATTCCAAGAAGACTTGGAAGCACAGGCGAACGCAGCTCAGATCAATGGAGCCTGGCTGGGACTTGTGACCAAAACCAGCTACAAAAGAGCCAAATATGAGCCAAAGAATTTCAAATGCAGCTCTACACATATGAAAATATTCTTTGGGACACCTGATCTTTAACCAAGAAATACACAGTGTGGACTGAGCCAGAAGAATCCTTACTCTGGAAAGGGTCAACTCGAATTTCCTCCCTTAGTTTGAGTTCCTGATCAATGTCTCTTTTCTTTGCACACTGAACACCAAGGCTTTGGAAAACTAATCTCATAGTGTTGGGGTCCACAGGCATGGTGCAAATTCCTTTTTTGCAACCTTCCCTTCCCACAAGGCTGTGGGGATGGGGCCGGTAGGGAGGTCCATCCTTGGTCACACAGGATACCACTGCAATTGCCCTTCCTTTATGGCCCACCACCTGTCAGAGATGCATTCCCTTTATTATATCTCCTCTCAAAACATTCACATCCATGAAAATCCTTTGTCAGTGGACTAGAGCTCACCTCAATTGTTGGATAGGTTTTATTTTCTTCAGTGCTATTGATGCCAGGGATGCTGCCAGCAGATCTCCCTTCACATTTGTAGCGGAATCTATGTTCTTTGGGAGCTGGCTGCTCCACAATACGGACATACTGCAAGAGCACATGAAATCAGCAGCAATTGCTTAGCAAAGGCATACAAGGCAATTGGTTTAATCAAATAAAAAATTATTAAAAGTAGCCGAGTTGAGGAGTCAGGAAGATGACTGTTCCTGAAAGCTAAGATAATCCTTTTGAGAGCTACATCCATAGGATATTGATATTACACTCCCTGGTGGCTCCTCATGTGCATTCAATCAGGAAAGAGGCATACAGTAAAGCTATTGTACCTTATTACATAGAAAGTTACAATTTTGGAAACCTAGGTTTATGTCCCTGACAACAGTTTCTGTCTCTGTATTCCTCACTCCATGGCTGAGAAAGAAAACTAACTGCCACAATTCAAAAACCAATCCAGTCATGATTTCCACTATCCCAACATGAGGGTAACCCAGAACTTCAAGCTTGGAATGTCAGCAATGAATAGAAGTCGTGCTGTTTCCAATTGTCAGACAAAATGGCAAAATGACAGATACTACTAGCCCAAAGGGCTAGCCTTCACTTTAGAAATAATATGATAAACTACTTCAATGAAACTCACTGGTCCGTTCTTAGGAATTTGATTATTCATTGCACGTGAAGTTGTTGCTGCAGATGTGCTGTAGAACCTTGTAGTTGACTCTGATGTATCTGACACAGCACCAGCATTTTCAGGGTCTGCACTCTGGATGGATTCAACTGTAGAAATATTCCAAGAAATGTGAGCAGGGATGCATCACTTGAAAGTCAGTTGTTATGGAGACACAATTTAAGATAATTTTTCATGAGACAAGTAATACAATTAGTAACTTTAGTTGCATTTTCTTCAGCCACTTAATGATACATGTACATTATCCAGATGAAGTATACTTTTCAGTCCTGAATTAATATAATAACTTCAGCATTTCAATTTTTTTTACTGATTGATTGATATGGTTTAATAAAAGTTAGAGCCATAGGTCATATGTAAACCCTTGCTTCTGATGGACAAGATCTTTGTTCAATTTTCCCCCAAAGCCTGGTGAATTTATATCTATTGAATAAATTTACATCATAAACCTAGTTGATCTAGCATGAACAATCAAATGTAGCAGACTTGTTAAGGCACTACATGTCTTGCACATTGATTAAACTCGCATCCACCTCATCAGATGCATGCTAAAATTACATATTTACAACCATATTGCAACCATATTACAAGCTTCACAAAACATGAGTCTGTAATCTGTAGAAAGGGTTGACTGCATCACATTTTGCAGCTTCTTCACATGTGTTTGCATGATCGATATTATGATAGTCCTTATCAAAATGAAACAGCGAGTTTTCAGGAAAGCCTAAAATTTTCACTCGGAATTTTCATGAAATACATAAAACTTCAACAGCTATATCCATGAAAGTACATAGAAACCAAAAGTTAGACCTAGGTCTATATTTGTCAAATACCACTAAAACCTATATCTTGTTTTACTTCTCTAACATTAAAAATGAACAATTTTGATGAATGAAGTTTGGAGTCTAAGAGAAAATCAAAGAAAATAAGATAAAATAAATGCATTATTACCTTACTTAAAACAATCTCTTGCCCCCACCGTAAACCTGTGTCTTATATTACAAAACCTATTTAGTCCCAACAGGCCACTTACGGACGTCACTGAGACGCAAATCGCTGGTAGGGGATTGCACAAAGCGATCCAACGCCTTCATAGAGGTTACAGACGAAGCCGTCGAACCAACAAATGAATGCTGCAATGCTCAGGCGTTCATTTTTCACAGTCCAGTAGGTAAATTTGCCTACTGACTTAAAGAGATGAACACATGCACATAGGAGATCGCCATGTCTCGCTTCTGAGAAACTCAATGACGTCATTCCCTTATGACGCATTTCTCAAGGCCACATCCTGTTCTCCCGTATTCGAAAGATATCACAGCTAAATTTATATGGTCTACTTACATAGTTTCCTTTTAACGAAGTAAGCAGTTTTTTGTCAGATTATTCGCATGAGATAATAAGTACCTTAGAAAATGTCATTTTTCTACCGATTGATTGATATCTGTCAGAAACCGCCTGGTAAGAGCGCAGACTTGCAGCCGCTGATGTAGTATGGCGTCCCGCTGCGGCAGCACGTGTCCCAAAGATCAAGCCCGTGAACTCTTGAAGAAAGTGAATATTTATCATCTTAGCCCGCGAGTCACCCATGATAATCGGGAAGCACCAGTTTAGAAGTATGAAACCGGTTTAATGGAGCGAGGTATTCGACGATAAGCTTTGGCCCCGTGGTTACTATTCATCTGGTTTTTCCTGGACATTCGACGCCTGGGTTTTCTTGGACATTCAGGTCTGGGGTTTTCCCGGACCGATTATCCCAGTACACTTTTTCCGGTTTAAATTTCCATTCAAGCGAGAGCCGTCCTCCTTTTCGGCTGTCCGAAATATGATTACCCTATTCGTGCTGTTGATCGTTCCTCTTGAAGAGTCTATCCTGCACGCTACCGCACCAAGTAGAGAAGCGACCCTTTTATGTTCAGAGAGTTTGGAAAAGTACTTCTTTTCTAAATACACAAAAGAATAACCAGACTTCTTTCCGAAAAAAATAGGACATTTGCAAGAAAATTCCTAAGTGTTAGTCTTTGCAATGTGGAAAAGTCAACACACCATGATGGAAAGTAAATTCAAACCAGAACATAGCCTGAAAAACCAGGTCTGGTCAGCCTCGATGAAAGGAAAAATGAGGATTTTATCATTTCAGAACAGTGTAATTGCTGATCATTATGTCTCCACAGCACCATGGCAGTTTCTGAGATTGAATGATAACATGGTTGAAAATGCTGGAAAAGCTTTTCTTTTAATTATCTGAACTTAAGACTTTTCTATCAAACAACTAAAAATTTAATGCTTTCATTTATTTTTAGAATGTTTTTTAAATATAGGTTATCTATGTGATTTTTTCACAGACAGCCTTTAGTGCAAGGTTCAATTTTTGAAACTGTACTTCTGAAGTTCTTTTTAGATTAGTATTCCTTGTAATGTTGAAACTATTAAAAATTAAAAAATGATTGATCAATTTTGATGCAGGTGTCATGCATAAAAATTTAAATGGTGACCAGAATAAAAAAAAAAATTCCAATTTTTCATTCTTTAGCTCAGCAGAACTGAAATGCGTAGCTTGTCTTCTTGCATCTGAATGCATGACTTAGTTTATGTACCAATACCAGGGTAAGGTAAAAATGTAATCATGCTTTCTTGTACATTGCAGAATGTGAGTCTTGACCAATTGTTGAAGTGGGATTTGCTCAACTGAAGACACAGCATCATGTCCAAATCACTCTGAATTTCATGTGGTTGAATTCTGGATTCCTTGAAAGTTGAACTACTATGCATTCTCAGCTTGGTCGAGTATTTTGGAAAGGTGTCCATGTCATTCACAGGACAACTATCTCCCAGACCTTTGCACACCAGCAGAGGGGACACATATGTCTTCCCCAGCTCATTCCACTGAGCAGGAACTTGTGTAGCAACTCTAAAAAAGTGCATGCAACACTACTTTATAAGTATCCTGCCTGGAGGGAATACTCATGTCCTCGTACTATGCTGCTCTCTTGTGAACACATGAAACCAAGTGTCACAACATTAGCAATGCGGACAATGACCGACTCTGCTGAAAGCAAAGAAAAGCAGGACAAAGCCAATGCATCTCTCAGGGCCATGAAGTATTCTTTCATTGTATTGAGTGTCCTAGGAGCTGGTGTATCAGGCTTTTTGCTAGTCACATGGGGTGAGTATAAATCCCTCTCTATCAAAGATGCAACAATATTGAAACATTCTCAATATTTTGGACTACATTACCTATACCATTACCAGTGGCAATTAATTAATTTTATTTTAATAAAATTAATTAATTGTTACTGCTTCAAACTATGTAAAGAATTATCTACAAGGCAGGCTTGCTTCCTCACACCCACAAAATGTGGGCAAAGAAGTTCCAATGGAGCAGATAGGTTATCTAGAGTGATTATAAATTCTGGTGACAGGTGTAGAGAACTCAAACCTGAAAACTACATATCACAGCTCAGTGGCACTTTGGAAGTAGTATAATAAGAAGGGTAAGGTATTTTGATAGAATCCCATGCCTCATAGGAGATGTTGCTGATGCATTGATGATGAGTTCATTTGTAGGCACAGTAGGTGTAAATATTGAAAATGCATATACAGGATGTGGCAAAAAATAAAGACCAATAACTTTTAACCTCTAGGTCTTTGCTCTCAGTGAAGATATTTTCAAGAAACTTGCACTACATATTGGTTGATCTTTTCCAGATAGTCTCTTGAAAATGTAAATCATATTAATATTATCAAAGTATGCTAATGAGCAATTATTCAAAATAAACAAGACTTTTGAAATGGACAGGGAGACTAATCCTTCCTGAGTACCTCATATTCCTGCCTTCTTATCTTACAAAGGCCAAGGGAAAGGTTCCCTTGGTAAAATCTGCATAAACTTTTGAGCAAACTCTATTTTGATGATCACATGTTGACGTTTTGATAAGCTTCATTCCAAACAATCCACAGAAAAAGTCAGTACGAAAAATACATTTTAGAGAAGAGACATTCAATTGGGATGATGTGGGAAAAGTGCACTTGGGTGTGTCCTTCACATTGTTACCAACATGAGCTCTTCTCTAATTTCATTATCCTATTTCTTCCTTAATCACTGATAATCATTCCTTAATCACAGCCTTGTTTTAGGGACTGAATTGGGAGACATTTTGAAATTATGTTATAAACACATCATCTATGCCCAGTGAAAGCTTCATGATAGTAGCTCAAATGGGAGCCAATTTATGTTGGTTAAAAGTTATGGTATTTTTCTTTTGCCACAGCATGTATATGCAGCCATAAAGAGCTATCACTTCATAGTGGTCTGTAAGGATCCTTACCAATAAGCAATATTTAGACTCTATACAATGTTATAACTTAAATGGACACATTGTAAAGGCAACATGACAGGCTTAGTGCTTCATTATTGCCTTTTTGTGTGTCCATCCAACACCTATACTTACTGCATACTCAAATTATGTTACATCAGAAGTGATGTGATGTAGCAGGTTTTCTCATGCAATTAAGCATATTTTTCATTTCATATAATGTACTCCCTTGATGTGATACTACTCCCCATGTTTCATTGAGCTGCAATGCAAAATTTTCTTGCTAGATTCCCATACACCTGTCTGCCAACTTTTTAATCACCTTGTATGTTTGATTTATTGTCTGAGATCCAGCTATACCCACAATGTTGTTGCATCTCCTTTTTGTGCAGGGTGATTCAAAGTCCTGCCCATGCTTTAAAGCATGTAACTCTTGAATACCTGACTGGATTGATATCTGATGTAAACCATTCAGAAGACAAGAATAACCTATCTAGAGATGCATTTTTTAAATATTTTGTTTATTGCTTTCTTTTCATCCTGAGCCATGAAATAAGTTCACTTTTTGGGGTTCTTTTATTGTATCCACTCTTTAAAATGTTCTTGCACACCACAGCATCTTGATTATAATTCAAGTAAATTTGAGGAAAATAGCTTAGAAGGTGACTGACTATCTGCAAAAGTGTAACAAATGTTCAGCTTTTTCCAAAATGGGCCAGAACACAATAGGAACCCCTGAACAATTCCAACAACAAAAAGTTGTCAGAGAACCCCCAACTGCAAGTTGATCATCAGTATCAATTCACACATTTACATGGTCAGAAAATTAGAAGACCTGCCCTACTTTGGAGGTGCCTAAACTGGGCATTCTGAAGAAAAGTTTGAATTGGTCAACTGGAGCATTTATTAATCATATTGAAAGTGGATGTGGCTCATGACAGGAGAGATCATGATTCCTTGGCATTGGTCCAACACATTTTGCAAATCTTATGGTCATAACTTTCAAGTTTTGTTCTTATTTGAACTGAAATAAAAGTGTCATACTGAGAATTTTCTTGGCCTCCATTTGATCTCAGCCGCATAGCAATCCAATCACTCATTCATGAGTTATTACTGGTCCAAAGGTGGACAGGACTTTTGATTCACCCTGCATATTGGAATTGAGTTCTTCATGGACCATGTATCATTCCATTGTGAATGCTTTTCTATAGGTGCTCCTCACAAGGATGAGGATGGAAATGATATAGAAGATGAATTCTCTCACTTGCCGACCATTAAGCAATACCTGAAGCGCACATGGAGAGAGGTGAAAGTTTACAATAAGGTAAGGAGCAAATTTTTTTGTCTTCTTAATTTTTCTTGTTCTCCTTTCTGACTGAGTGCAAGCATTCTTCATTGGTAACTTCATTGCAGATGATCCAAGAGCCTTCCAGGGAGAAGTTACTTCCTGAACCTCTTAAGGAGCCCTACATTCAGCCTCCATATACTCTGGTGCTTGAAATGACTGGTGTACTTGTCCATCCTGACTGGACGGTGAGATTGAACGCAAACAAGAATTACCTGTTTCAATAGACATTTGATTTTTGTGATTTCAGAGAAAATTTGAGAATATTTAAGAGAACTGTTTATTATCTTCAATTTGCAGTACCAGACTGGTTGGAGATTTAAGAAGAGACCAGGTGTTGACTTTTTCTTGCAACAGGTGGGCCCACCACTCTTTGAAGTGGTCATTTATACCTCTGAGCAGGGATTTGTGAGTCATACTGGTTTTCCTCTATTGGTATTCCCATTTGTGGAATGAGAGACAATCTGACATTATTTTCTATCCTGCAGACAGCTTTCCCTATTCTTGATGCTTTGGATCCCAATGGATTCATTATGTATCGTCTGTTTCGAGATGCCACTCGATACTTAAATGGACATCATGTCAAAGACCTCAACTGCCTCAATAGAGACCTCTCAAAGGTGAAGTGGTGACTAAATGTCTGCTAAATCCACTATGATGTGCCCATTTCTTAACTTTAATTGGTCATGTGCAGGTGATCCTGGTGGACTGGAATGAGAATTCTTTTAGCCTGAATCCCCGAAATGCCTTACATGTTAGGAAATGGACTGGGAATGATGATGACCGAACCCTTATTGACCTTGCCATCATGTTGAAGAGTAAGTTGGTTTTGCTGTTTCAAACCTCTTTGGTACTAATTATAACTGTTAGCAAGAGTCATCTCTTTTTCTTACTCCCATATCCTATATGTTATCCAATGCTTGAATTTCAGCTATTGGTATATCTGGTGTGAATGACGTGAGAGAGGTGCTGGACTACTACCGTCAGTTTGATGATCCACTGGAAGCATTTCGAGAGAACCAGAGACGACTGCAAGAACAGGAAGCAATGCAAGAACAAGAACTGAAGGAGAATTTGAAAAGACCCAATCTTGCTAGTGGCTGGAATAAGGGACTCTTCGGGGGTCTGAAGAGGTGAGGCATGCATGTGTTTCAAGATACTTCCTGTGGAAGAGAGCAGCCTCATGCCTCTCATTTTCCTTTATCCTTGAGCCATGTTCCTTGTCCTTGGCAAATAAATAGGAATATTGTGATATTTGTTGTGTTTTCATCATCTTCATCCTCATATTATTTTCAGAGGTACCATGTTGACATCCTCATATTCTGCCACCAGGAAGAGCACTCATTGAATTACCACATGCTTTTCATGGTCGTGTCTGTAAGTTAAAACAGAAACTCAGGATGTCTTGCATTCATTAAAGCTCTTGTGTTCTATTGATGATGAGTTGTTATGATTAGAAGGAGTATAATTTCCCCTTCTATTTATCGTAACCTTCATTTGGAAGTCAGCTTGCTCTTTTCTGCACCTAAAACTGATTCTCACTATGTAATATTTGTTATTTTTGGAAAATGTCACTAATCCTGGTCTTGCTTTTTAAATCATTACTTGCTATTTATTAAGAAAGTCATTCTCTGAATTGATAAATTATTTCAAAGGTGAAATTTCTTTATTTGCAAAGGAAGTGTTGTATGCCCTTGAACTCTTCATCAATTCTTTCTTGTGTACCTCCCAATGGGAAGCATTTTTGCTTTCATGTGCCACTCAAGTGATTGATGAGGATCATGGAAAAGTTGCGAGATGAGATACATCATAAAAAAAACACAAAGCGTCTAATCACTTGGTTCAGTTGAGGAAGAGTTTACAAAGGGTGCTGGACAGATGAGTTGTGCTCCACTGAACCAATCTACAATGCAGTTTGTACCTTTGTTCTCGTGGTTCTTGTCATGGTCTTTCAATGTTCAAAAGATGGAAGGGCACTTTGGCACTTGGAAAAGTGAGACTGTCTCTGCCTCACACATGCTGATGATTGGTTCTCAAAAAGAAGTTGCGAGTTTCTGGAAGATATCACGTGATGAAAGACTGACTCCTGTGGGCTACATAGGAGAGAGATCGGAAAGGAATGCTGCTTGCAGCTTCAGCCATGGTATCCTCCACCGCCTCCTTTCTTGAAGCCACCACCTCCACCGTATCCGCCTCCTCCATGTCCGCCACCAAATCCACCCTTCATACCACCACCATATCCCCCTCCATGACCTCCGCCGAAACCTCCTCCTCCTTTCTTGAATCCACCGCCTCCACCATATCCTCCTCCACCAAAACCGCCCTTCTTCATACCACCACCACCATATCCTCCGCCAAAGCCTCCACCGCCGCCTTTCTTGAATCCACCGCCTCCACCATAACCTCCACCACCCTTCATGAATCCGCCGCCTCCACCATATCCACCTCCGCCGCCTTTCTTGAATCCACCGCCTCCACCATATCCTCCTCCACCAAAACCGCCCTTCTTCATACCACCACCACCATATCCTCCTCCAAAGCCGCCGCCGCCGCCTTTCTTGAATCCACCACCTCCACCATAACCTCCACCTCCACCACCCTTCTTGAATCCGCCGCCTCCTCCATATCCTCCTCCACCAAAACCGCCCTTCTTCATTCCACCACCACCATATCCTCCTCCAAAGCCTCCACCGCCGCCTTTCTTGAATCCACCGCCTCCACCATAACCTCCACCACCCTTCTTGAATCCGCCGCCTCCACCATATCCTCCTCCGCCAAAACCGCCCTTCTTCATACCACCACCACCATATCCTCCTCCACCAAAACCGCCCTTCTTCATACCACCCCCACCATATCCTCCTCCATGACCTCCACCAAAGCCGCCGCCGCCACCGTATCCACCGCCTCCTTTCTTCCCTCCGCCTCGGGAAATCTGCATTCCCCCATATCCACCTCCGCCTCCACCTCGTCTTCGTCTACGGCCTCCTACATGATGAGAATAAAGATACCGTAAAATGCTGTGGATAAGGGCGACGGTTTGAGCCATGTTTTATCATGAGCTCTTTCATTCATCACTGAAGCCTGGATAGACGATCCGGGGATTATAGCAAGGACTTATTCAAAGGATCATATTCACTTGTTTCCTTCTGTCGCTCAAGTAACTCTGCCACAAACTGAAGCCCTGCCGCGAAGGGCAAATCTTTCATTTCTATTCTGTCTGCTAAGGCCCTATCACCTCTATCGTTCGAAGTCCTTCATTCCGAACCCCTCCTCCACGTCATTGCTTTCTACCAACACAGCAATCAGTGGCGTAGTTAGGATTTCGCCCAAGGAGGGGGGGGCGCTAGGATATCCCTACCCTCTCCCAGGGGTGGGGGGAACAGATGCATTTGACCAGAGCTGTGGGACTAGGACCAAACATGGGGGGCTGAACCCCATCCCATTTGCTACGCCACAGACAGCAATGGTCAGGTATTTCACAATAAGAATGCTTCCAAGCCATTCTAAAAAGGCACATTACTCAATCGGGACGGGGGAAGGAGTGGGAACGGGGAGGGATTACTTAAGTGGTAATCATTCGATACTACAGTAATGAAATGCCTGAACTTGTAACTTGGTGATGCAGCCTCGAAATTAGTAGTGATGTGCTGAACGCACCTCTGAGGTCGGTGCGGTAAACCTCCATGCTATGTATGGAGTGAGGAACTTCCGTGAATGGGGAAGAGAGAGGAGGAGGAGGACCCTTTCCGTGACCCCGGAGAAGTCGAAGGTCAGGGAGATTCCCTTCCTCGGTAAAATTTATACATCCTTGCATGGGACTGAATTCTCCCCCATCCCCCCTCTTTTTTTTTTTCTTTTAAGGAAGTCTTTGGGGTCCTTCGGTCTGGCAAGGTATTCCTTTCAGAAGGTTAAAAATGCGCTGCATAATTCATTTTCAGAATATGAATGAAGTACTCGCGAAGGTCGATGGAGGTTCGGAAGGGGATGAGCCGATATTCCTAAACCGTGTACGAAGCCTTCGTTCTGCTTCGAAACGCGGAATTGTGATATCATTGGCCTTTTATTTCATCAGTATGCCTTTCAGAAGGCATCATTTCACGAAATTAAAGAATGAAGCAATAATTATTTCCCTTGAATTATTTGAGCGCCGAAAATAAAGAATTAGCGGTTCCAGATGCGATGACGACCGTCAGGTGCTCCCTTCGCAAGAATGACGAAATTGCTGCCATTGAGCGTTTTTATTCACCTGGAGAAAGCATCTGAATGACGTCTTGTGAAAATGAAAATCGTAATGACTATAAGTAAGCAGAGAGTAAAAAAGAAAAAAAAAAAAAAAAAAAAAANAAAAAAAAAAAAAAAAAAAAAAAAAAAAAAAAAAAAAAAAAAAAGGCTCACCTTTGCCGCCAGCCTCGACGACCGCAGCCGCTATGAGACATATGACCAGGAACGCCCAAGTCTGAAACACGAACGAGAAAGCAAGGGTCAAGGAAATCGAAGACGAAAGGGCTTTGTACACACGCAGGCGGCTTTTATGAAGGAGCAGATCCCGGGGTCAGGATCCTTCACCTTCCGAACATCACACTCCTAATTACTCGTGCGTCATCCGTAGTCGCGATCCTTCGCGGCGGGAATACTTCCTTGTTGTCACGATGATTTCTTACCTCCTCGGTTCTCTCGAGTCTCAAGGCTGAACTCTCCGAGGTTTTGTGTACTCTTCGCGCTTGCGCAAGGTCATTGTCGTCCCAACAAAAAAGCCCTTCGCACGATAGCGGGTTTTACTGCCTTTTTTTTTTAAGGAAATCCCCCTTTCGACCCAGCCCACTTTCGTTCTCCGATTTTTGTCTCCCGTCAGGCTCTAATGAAAAATAGTTAGCTCCTACGACACCAAAAAGCACGGAAGGCGGGGCATCCCCGCACGCACATCGCCCGGACTCTCCATCTCTTAAATATGAAAAAGTGAAAGCGAACTCGCCGAAAGCAATTATAACAGAAGCCCGATTGGGCACTTCGAGATTCTCCACCTCTTCCTGGCAACAGCTGACAAAACAGCCCGTGGAAAAATGTTCCGGGCCAGGTGATACGTAGCAGAAGACGGAAAAAGGAAATGAAAACCTGGAAACGGTCGCGGCGCGAGGGAAAGAAAGGGAAGAGGTCCGAGTCCCGTCTGCATTTGGCCCCGATCTCGGGGGAGGATCGTTCTGCCCCGATCTCGGGGGAGGATCGTTCTGCCCCGATCTCGGGGGAGGATCGTTCTGCCCCGATTTCGAGGATCGTTCTGCACGCATTTTCGCACGACTGGGAAAATGCGTGCACCAGCCGGACCGGCCAGAGAAAATCATTAGAGATCGTCTTATTATCTCGTATAAGTCTTTCACAAAGACCAGCGTACGTACTGCCTTTTTTTCCCCCCGAAATCTCACTTTCTAGAAAGTAAAAATCAGCTGGGGAAAGGAAGAGTATGACCCACATCTTGGACTCCATCCATTCCTTAAATCGACAACCCAGTACGTGATCCTTTTTTCCCCCCCAGAGAAGTCATCGATCCATACTTTTCCCTCCAAAAACAAAAAAAGACTCCGGAAGAACCCGACGGTAAAAAAAAAAAAAAAATAGTGAAAACATCCCCCAAGTGTGAACGTCGATAAGCATCGATACCGAAGAAACGCACCGCCACCGCGGTGAAAGGTGACGAGGAAATTAACACGGAAACAATCCCACCTTGCCGAGCGCGATCTCCATGACTAAATAGCCCCTCACCTGTCACGTAAGATAAATTCACGATCTCCAACGCGACGATCTCCGCCACGCCGTGACGGCATCTCCAGCCGAAACGGCCCGAGTGACGCAACATCTCGAATCCCGCAAAAAAAAAAAAAAACCTGTCGTCACCGTTCACGTCACCGTTCACGGCACCGCCATCGTCGACCGAATCCTCTCATCTCGGACGAGGCCGCTTGAGAAACATTCACGGACGGTGAATCCTCTCGGTAGCGTTGCAGCGCGAGTCCGCTTCGGTGATTTCGGACCATTTCTCAACCTTATGGTCGACCGTCGGAATTGTTCTTAATCTATCTCTCGACGTCGGTGTTTTGTTTTTTTTTGGGAAATCGGCGATATAATTTATTATCATTATTTCTATTGCGAAGTTTTTTTTTTATATAAAAAAAAAATTTCTCAACGCGAAATCCCTGTCATTCGCGCACGAACGAATATTCCATCTGCAAAAATATTATTATATTATCATATTATATTACAAAAAGCCAAAAATGGAATAAAATAAGTTTCTTCAGCTGAACGAATTGCTATATTTTATCGGTGATTCGTTGCTGTGTTCGCTAAATATTTTGCAATGGTATCGCAGTTCCGCATGAGAAAATCTTTAATAAATTAATTGAATTTTCCAACTTGCTCTGAGCCTCGTACCGACACGGAAAATAAAAACGTAATTTTTTTTATTTATTTCTGCACGGATTAGAATTTAGATAGAATTTCGATAATTGATACAGCAAATCCAGCAGCGAAATTTTTTTTATAATCTCACGTAATTAAAGAGCTTACCAGACGCAGCAAACTCGAAAAAAAAATTGCAAATGCCGAAAATTCAGGGTTGGGAGGTTCAATCGCGAGATCCGCGAAACGAAAAGACTCCGGCGAACGCCGGGACTTACTATCTTCATGGCGACTGAGAATCCAGTGACACTCGGAGAACCTCGCGGCAGAAGGCGAAGAGGAAGACTGAGACACGGAACCAGCGGTCACCCTTTTATAGTCGGGAGGCAGAGGGGGGGGGGGGAGGCAGAGGACCTTCGCGCCTCCACTTTTCCTCCTCCGTTGCCCAATTGGTCTTTTGCCAGGGTCGCGTCTCGATCCGGCTCGATCGGGCCGGACGCGACGTGCCGGATTTCGTGCCGGACGTTTTTCGGGCCCGATCGGAAGCGGACGGGCGAAAGGCCGTTTCCTGCTCTTTCGGCGGAAGTTCCGTTCCGCTCGGATTTCATCTCGGCGGGGGATATCTGCGGGGATCAGCGGGTTCGCGAACGGGCGAGGCGTTTTTTAAATATTTATTTAATTTATTTTTATTATCTAAGTTTTCGTTGGGTTCAACGTCGTTTGTTGATCCTCGGGAGAAAAATCCTAATATGCAATAAAATGGACGCACAACTTCCCTTTCTTTTCGCGGTGGTGCTTGCATCTCCTGAAATCATGAAATCTGTTCGCGATCAGCCGGCAAAGTTGCCCTCAAACGGGCAAAGTTGCTCTCGATTTCACGCTCTTCCGGAATTTTGCAATTTTATAATTATAATTATGCCATTTGACACCTGTCAGGCTTGGCCGGTAGCGAGTCGCAAACTGCAAATAAAGTCCCCGCCGTAATTCCTCGCAAATTTCCAATTTTCCTCAAACTCGCATCGGCACAATTCACACGAAAAAGTAATTATAAAAAAAAAATAATAATAATAACAAAATTCATTAAACATTTTGCGATTCCACGAACGGAGAAATCAAGGCGAACGGCCTTCATTTTGGACTCAATTTAACCTTGAAGGTCATCGCGATCAACGACGTTTTAGAGGTCAAAGGTCAGGTTAGCCCTTTTAGACCTGAATTAAGGTCACTTTCGGAATAATATATATATATTTCTATGTCCTATATATCGTTTTCATATTTTGTATAAATTTACCACATCATACCATATATTACATAATATACAGTCGAACTCGGTTATAACGTCATCGAAGGGACCAGGTAAAAACCGCCGTCATAACCGTGGTTAGTCATAACCGAGGTTAGCCATAACCGAGGTTGCCTTTATTGGCACTCCGTTTTCCTGCTTTCAAAATTGATGTTATATAACGTTATATAACGTTACGACTCCAGTTTAGATTGGTCAAACTGAACTAGCCTCGGTTTCAAGATTGAATCGTGATGTTCGCGCTTCTTTGGACCTTGAACTGACCTTGAACTGACCTTGAACTTTATGCTTTGGCAAGGATTCGTCGACGCCATCTCGACAGACCGAGGAAGTTTCTTGCGAAAATGTTCAAAAGCCGTCACGATTATCCCCAGATCGTGGAAACGGATGAACGTCCACGTTCGCGAGCGACGTTCGCGAGCGACGTTCGCGGCGCTTCGAGCTCTTTCTGTTAACCCGATCGAGGAATTTTCCTTTCGATCGCGAAGGCTCTTTCGTTTTCCGTCGGCCATTTTGTTCGGCGAGAAATGCAAATGGCGACGATAGGCGATCTTAGTTGCTGGGGATTATCCCAGGGGATTATCCTGCTCCAGCCACGCCAAAAATGACTCTCAAGCGAATCCAGGAAATATAATAATAATTTAATTTATATTTATAAATAAAGATTAAGTTATGGCTCGCCGACGCCGATTTTCCCGGCGATGGATAAAGGACACGAACGTTGTCGATTTCGTCTGTGGGACCTTCAATGGACTTCGTCACGACCGAGGCCGACTGTGCATTTAAATAAGTAACTGAAGGTCACAAAACTGGTCACAAAAGGTCACAAAACTGAGGAGTGAACTGGAGGCCTCCGATGGAATGGAGCCGTGCACCTCTGCGGTGCAAAATCCCAATTCCAAGAAATTGCCGGGTCTGAAAGGGTTAAAGGTCAGGTTAGAGGCATCTCTGCAAACGAAGGCCCGGCCGGACAGTGGTTCGCGGTGGGAACGCGGTGGGAACGCGGTGGGAACGCGGCACACGCCCGACCGTTTTCGTCGTTTCGCGACGACGCGACGAGAAACGAGGATCGAAGAGTCTCGTTCATGCGCGATCCGTGTCGCCGACGAGGATTTTCAAGT